AGTCCTCCTCAAGGAAGTACCAGGTGCAGAATTTTTTTTCCTCAAATCTCATTCGAATTTTTATGCAAATTTTTGTTATGCAGGATTTAGAAAATCAGGTGCAGAATGAAGTGTTGCCACGCAGACTGGAGAACCAGAAGCTCAAGCTTCTGAACATGAAGTATAGCCACATCAAGGACGAAGAGAGCTGGAAAATAAAAATCCTGCAAGATATTAAAATGTGGAAAAAACACTACACGGAATTGATGCTGGCGAATGACAACAAGAAGTAGGATAGATGATTACGTGCTGCTCAACGTGAGCAGGAGCTGGTAATTTTAGTTTTTTTTTAAACGGTTTTACTCTGTTTTTTCTGCAGAGAAAGAGGAAATGCGAATTAAGGAAGGAGCGAGAACAGAAGAAGAAAAAGACTGAGCCTTTAACTCTCGTTATTGCGCAGCAAGAGCATGAAGGAAGAGAATTAGAAACTCTGGTGGAGGGAGAAAGCCAAGAACGAACTTGCATGGATGAAAATGCAGACAAAGAAAAGGTAAGGGTTTATGCTTATTAGTTATTAGTCTTTGAACAAGAAAAAGACTAACCAATATTTCAGAGAGAGGTGCAGGAAGGGAAGGATGAAGAGGACGAACAAGACAATGAGGAAGAGGAAAATGACAAACGAGATGATAGGGATGATATTGAAGAGGATGAAGATGTGCAAGACACGTTCGAAACAAAAGGGGAGGACGAGCAGGACAGCAGGACTAACGTATTTAGTTAAAACTTTGACAAGAGGCAATAAGTTTTTTTCCAGGATGTGAAGAAGCTGATAAAGAACATGCAAGAAAAGGTGGAAATATCAGACTTTACGTTTTCGGTCGGAGCTTCAAACAGGTAATCTCAACCTTGAGAGAATTTGCCAATTTTATCTTACATATGAGATTTTTTGCAACGATGAAGGGTTGTTCATCACAAATACTGATTTGCAATCCCTAAATGTCGATGGAATGATAAATGACACGATTGTAAACTTCTTCATCCTGTAAGATATTTAATTATTTATTTTTTTATTTTAACACATTTTTCAGGAACCTGAATCTAAAACAAGGTCAACATGTCTTCAATAGCTTCTTCTATTCGTATTTGTGTCAAAAGGTAAGAGTTTGAAATTTGAAGTTTTATGTATTTTTTGAAATTTGAAGTTTTATGTATTTTTTCTTTATTTTTCAGGAGTACGAAAAAATAAGGAAATGGAAGAACCATTCACATCGAAACTATGTGAGATGTGATTCTTCTGTGTCAACGAAACTATATGCTGATGCCAAGGTCTCCACCCAGGAAATAGAGGTTGCCAATCTGGAAAATGCCGACAATGCCGATAAGTATGACTAATTTCATCAAACACCTAGCAGTGAACATCACAACCACAACCACGTCCTCAACCTTGTCCTTTGACTCAAGCAGCAGCAGCATCAACTTTCATTGGAACAAGACCATCACCCAAAGGAAGTGGAGTTGAAAGAGGTGTAGTAGGAAGTGGAAGAGGCAATATCTCATAACATTGTGCCAAGCAAAGAGCATCATTAAGGGTGGTGGGAGCAAATGCATGGACAAGTTCGACTAGATTTTAACGAAGTGCTAGCCACAACATTCCTAGCTTGATCTGTTCCGACATATTTGGCTTCGCATGAAGCAAAAGACTTTGGAAACGAATGCCAAATTGCATCACCGACTTAGATGGCCCTTGGCGAAGACGATGCAATTGTTGGAAGGCATCATCACAATCGTCGACATGTCCGAAGGTGTGTTTGAAGACGTCCAGGAGAACACTCTAATCCCCACGAGTGGCTGCGCTCAAACGATTGTACCATTGCAATGCCATCCCTTAGAGACACGTGAGAAATTCACGCAAACGTTGAGCATCATCCCAAGAATGATACGTGGCAATCACCATGAAATGATCAAACCAATGGTACATATCATCCCTAGGATTCCCACGAAAGAACTCCGGCCAAATGTGAGGATTAGCACCAAGAGAAGGAGGAGTTGTACCACGTGCCGTATTATCATCAACTGAGTTTGGTTGTTCAATTGCAAGCGCATAGCATTAAGCAATTGTACCAACTATTGCTCCAGAGTCAAAGGAGGAGATTACTGATCTGCCATGAAGATGAACAAAAAAAAAAGAGCAAAAGAAGAGAAATGACAAGAAGCTGGAAGGAAATAGTAGATCTAAACAATGCAAAAAGTTAGATCTAAACTAAAATCCTGAAAGGAAATAACAAAAGAAAGGAAATAGAAAAAACTAGATTTAGACAATGCAAAAGCTAAATCTAAACCAAAATCCTAAATCTAAGCATTCCTCAAGGACAATCAAAAGTGCCCCTCATCTCCATGGAATATGGAAAGGGAATATAAAAATTTGCATATCAATTAACCCAAAAACCCTAGTTTATATATAGAAGTGAGTGGTCCAGATTAAAACTAATCTGACGGTTACCAAAATCCCACTATGCTAATATTAGTATACGGCATTGTAGCCGTACACTTGGCCCTCACAGATTTAAAATAATTTCATGTGTATTATAAACAAATTTATTACATATATTTGGCTAAATGATTAATGATTAAATAATAGCAATAGATAAAATTTTAAAATTACTGTAACCTTATACTTCTACAAACAATATAGTATTCATTTATTATTATGACTTCACTCTCAAGGGAATAAAAAGCTCCTTAATAATGATAGTAAGGCAAAAGAAATTTAGTAGCACTCAATCCAAAACTCATATATATTATAAAATTATAATATTATATTATATATAATTTCTAATATTTAAATCATTTTAAGGAGCACATGTGCATTTATATCTTGAAGAATATATATTCTCATCAAAATAAGTAAAATAAATAAAAAAAATGCATCAGAACAAATTTATAACTTCTATTTTCCCTTGGGTAGGCTGTTAAGAAACTAATAAAACATAAAAAATATTATTTTTATAAAATATAAATACTATGTAGTAAATTTTAAAAATTACTACTTATATTTTTGAGTTTGCTATAGAACATTTTAATATCTAATCTTCAAATAGTATAAATACAACACTTGTCATTTGTTATTAGGGTTATGCAATAGATCTCTATCCATCTTGACCAACACTCTCCTCTCTAGCTTCTAGCCAACACTTAGATCTAGCTAGAACACTCTCTTAGCAGTGCCATACCATGGCTATACCCAACTCAATCCAGCTCCAACACCACAGCAAGGCTGCCCAACTCTAGCACTAGCTCGGCCATGGCTGCCCAGCTCTAGCTCTCAACCATGGCTTCCCAGCTCCAGCTCTAGCATAGCCATGGCCAACTCAACTATGGCCACCCAACTCCAACTCTTAACTACAACTTTCTAGCTCTAGCTCCAGCATGGCCATGGCCACCAAACTCTAGCACAGCCATGTCCAGCTTGGCAATGGTCTCCCAACTATAACTCTCAGCCACAACTTCCCAGCTCTAGCTCTGTTGCTGCAATTGGAGATCGTGTGATTGTTCAGCATGGGGTTTGACAAGTCAACCTCAAAAAGTGCAAGGAGTGTGGCATGGTGGTTACCAACCCACTGGATATACTCACATGGATGAGATGGCTGATCTTGCAATGATGGCACTGTTGGGAACAATGTGGCAGATTTGCCTGGGAAATCACTACATTTGCAAGGGATTGTGGCCAGTCCATGAAGATTTCCCTCTCTCATACAAGGTAAAGCTCTTGATTCCTGAAAATTTTGATTTCTTGCTTGTACCAGCTCCATCTCTCAGCCATAGCTGCCTAAGCACGGCCATGCAACTCCATCTCGGCTGCTCTATAGCCATGCACCATAACAAAATAGGGTCAAGCATAGCTAAGCACCATAGTTGTGAGTAGGAGCAGTCACATTTCAAGTTTCTTATGGCTTGGGATAGGTTAGCCATCACTCTTAGCAAACATCTAAAGTTCCATGCAGGAGACAAGGTTAATAGCTATACATCACAACACTTAGTAGTTGAGATCAAGCAATTTTTCCTTGCCAGAGTATGTGTATTTAAATATCTTGAGAATAAAACTATAACTATAATCTAAACTAAACTTGTGAGTGCATGCTCCCATGAGTTTATCTCCAACTTGAAGAATCTACTTATACTTTCTAGCGTTTTTTTGGTGAAATCTTGCAGGCCACTTCGTGCTAGTTCTCTCCATCTTGCACCAAGATTGGCTTCCGCGGCCATATCATGTCCACAAAATTGGACGGTGGCTGGCAAAGTTGTGAGGCGCTCCAGATGTGGACCAGTGTGTGGGAGTCTACTACTCGGGCAAGCTTGATTGCTCCTCCAGCTTTGTTCAGAGTCTGGAGCAAAGGTATATCATTTCATTGCTCGAGATGCTAAAATACAATACATTGATTAAGACAAATTACCCGGATAACCACAATGAACATGCTGAAGAGAATAAGGATATCGCGAGTTTAAAAAAGGACTGAAGAACAGATTTCCATTGTGCGTGAAATGGGGTCATCTTGCAGATAAAAGGTAAGCCAATGACGTGTCTTAGGGCTAAGGGTTTGCTCTATGGATCGTTTGCTCGAATGCTCAGCTGCCGCGAAGAAAGATCGTGGAGGTGACGCGCTCCATCGCCAAATGAGGACATTCCACTCAAGCAGCATCAGATGTGGGACTGCTCAATGAAACACGAGGTGCCTCGTCGATGGCTGCCTTCTGGAGGTGAGAGTTTGGAGACTATAGATTAAAAACCTCTCTGGTAATTCTTTTACTCTTTCTTTATGTTCCGGGTCTCAGAGCAATGAGATTTGGGCTCCCTGCCGCTCCTGCTGCGGCTGCTGCGTCGCATGGTATCCCTGTTGTTGATATCGACGGGGACGGCAATTTTATCATGAACATTCAGGTGCATCTCTTGAACTTACAAAGACAATACCTTCATTTATCTTTTGTACGCTAGGAGCCGGCCACAATCCACGTCGAGAAGCTCCGGTCTTGAATAATCAGCATCTGGGAATGGTTGCACAATGGGAGGATCGATTTTACAAGGTATTGCTTTGACAACTTTCAGCAGTTTTTATATTTTCGTTTCAGGCGAACCGAGCTCACACATACCTGGGCGATCTGGACGCGGAAGCAGAGGTCTATCCTGACTTCCGTAAGTTTGCTGACGCTTGCAAAGTATGCGAAGTATGCGTATTTTCCGCCGTTGCCGCATAAGTTGTGTATCGTGATTTTTTCTTTAGGGGACCAATGTCTGATTCTCACGGGGAGGACAGGGTATAGAAGGAGAAAGCTCGGGCTTTGGGGTGTTCATCAGAACAAGGCATAGAGCTTGTCTTTCATCATTAGAACTCTAACGTAAGTGTTCGGAGTTTGTGACTTCCTTCATATCCGGCTTGTTTTTTCAGGATTGTTATCCAGTGTTTCAAGAGCATCGAGAAGATAAAAGCAGACAAGGAGGAAGAAAATACGTTTTCGTGCCAATGCTGGTAACTGTTGAAACTTTGTTTCTTGTTGTCGCAGCTATAACTAGTTCGTTTTGTAGGGTGCTCATTGCGGCGGTGACGTTTGTCGAAAGAACAACCGATTTCCTGGTAAGATCCAGAGCTAGCTAGAATAGCAAGCAGTGAGGTGTCTTTGCTTGCTGTAGGCTTCCGATGTACGATGAAGCAAAGCTTCGTTTTATAGTTTCCTTGTGGTATTCCAAGACTAAAGTTTGCTACATTCTTTTGTTTTCGTACTGTAAGGAGCGAAATTTATACTTTCAGGGGACAAACTACGTTTATTAAGCCGTTTGTGACGAGCTACGAACCGGAAGTTGACCGGAAACTGGGTGAATTGAAGGGACAGGTGAAAGACTTGACGTATCTTCTCTGGCAGCGCGTTTCTCTATTCGCCCAGTCCAAGTTTTTCGAGTTCCTTCAGTGCTTTGGCCTGTCCTCAGAGACTCTCCAGGCTCACAGGTGTCATTTTCCGCAGGTTCGTGCTTTCATCCCGTGTTCTTCATTTTCTCTTCTGTTTTTCTCTAACAGTACTTTTGATGCAATGCAGTTGCAACCAACGAGCTTCCAGTCGCCAGGAAATGTGGATCCCACGTACTGCAGTCAAGTTGTGATTCGGGAAGAAAGCAAAGAGACCGAGACCAGCTTGACAAGGGACAGTGGCAAGCACGGGCAGCAGCAGTGCTCTTCATTGACATCTCATAGAATTGACCGAGAACCAACATCGCCCTCGAACTTACATCCGCGTCCCTTGACAACCGAAAAGGCAAAAGCAAAGGCAAAGTGAATTTGCTGTATCCAACTAGAGGTATGGACCACGTTTCTTCACCAAAGAGAACTACTTATCACAGGTTGCTGGATCCAACTTAGAGGTATGGAGAGCGAGAGAGAGTTTTTTAAGTTTCTCGTTGTGGAGAGGAATACTACTGCTGTACTTGTCACAGGACTTTCTTTCACCATTTCGGCGATCAACACGGACAGCCTTAAGTGTTCCAGGAGCTGGAGACTTCGACCAAAAAGATATGCTAGCTAGGGAGAGCTTTCATGACGCGACATTGGTGGCTAAAGATCGATATAATATTTTTCCATGGTTAGTGCCAGCCAGCCATACCGGACGGATGAATGAATGGGATGAACAAACAGTTGTCACGCAAATGATTGGAACACACAAAGGTTTCCTTTGCTCTTTTCTTTAGTGTTGTTTATTCCATCATCGCGCGAAGTTTTATTCAATGCCAAGTTTCCTTTTTTGCTGTACAGCACAACACATCTCTCGCTGCTTTCAGCGAGAAAAAATGGAGGAAAAAGAAAAAGAGAGAAAACCAAAGAATGTTTTGTTTGTTGGCTGGTTGGTTGTCCGATTGGCCTTGTTTTGTTTTTTTTTTTTCGGCTCGCCATTGTCTCAGCAACCACCAGATCGAATGGTTAAAGCTTCAGCATCGTCAAATCCTGAAGAAAATTGGGAACGAAGAAAAAAAAGAAAAACGGAGGAGCAAGGGAAGAACTTACACCACCCAACGCGAAAAAAGAAGAGAAGAACCAAGAAAAAAAAAACCGAGAACTTCCCTCTCTTCACCGCTGCGCTGCTGCGTGAGAGCACTCGCTACAAGACGTTGTCCACTTCGGCCATTTCATCTTGCTTGCAGAGATGCTCGAGCAAACTCCCGGCCTTTCGCCGCGCTCGCATCGTCCCATTCACCGCCAGCTCCGCCAGCGGGAGATACGCCCCGAGCTGGTGCGCCGCCACGACGTGAGCTGAATCGTTGGAGCACAACGCTAGCAGCACCGCGGCAGCATTCTCCTTCGTCCTGGCCGAGCCGGAGCTGATGAGCTCCACCAGCACGGGCACCGGCGACTCATTCCCGACCGCCACCCTCCCCTCGTGGTGCGTCACCAAAATGGCCAGGATCGCCAAACTCTCGTCCACCATCCCGGCCCGAGTGTCCAGCAGCTCTCTCATGAGCGCCGGAACTATCCCCGCCCGGACAGCTCTCGCCTTGTTGCCTTGGTATATCGACAAGTTGAAGAGCGCGGTGGCCGCGTCCTTCTTCCCCCGCAAGCTCCCGCTGTTGAAGAGATCCACCAGCGTCGGTATCGCGCCCGACGCTCCTATCGTCACCTTGTTCTCGTCCGCCACGGAGAGACTAAACAGCGTCGCCGCCGCGTTCTCCCTGGCCTCCATGCTGCCACCACGTAGAACTTCCACTATCGGCTCGATGGCCCCGGCTAGAACGATCAGTCCCTTGTTCTGGTCGTGGATGGACAGGTTGAGCAGTGCCGTGACCGCGTGCTCTTGCGTGCGCTTGTCCTGCGTCGAGAGCAGCTCCACCAGGAGTGGAATCCCTCCGGCCTCGGCGATGCTGATCCTGTTTTCTATGCTTCTCTTTGCGAGCAAGCGTAGCTCCCCCGCTGCTGCTCGCTTCTCCTCGAGCTGGCCGGTTGCGAGGCGCTGGACCAAGGCCTCTACAACCACTAAGTCCGTTGCATGCGGTACGTCTATCCCATGGCTGCTGCTGAGCTTCCCGCTCGGCCTGCTGCTGCCGTATCCTTTCGGTGGCTCCAGGCCGTGTGTCTCGCACCAGTGAGCAATGAGGCTCCGCAGTACGTAGTTTGGCGTCAGTACCAGATGCGTGAGAGGTTGTCTCGTCTTCGGGCATGTCTTGTGTCCGGCATCTAGCCACTTTTGGATCGATGCTCGCTCGTAAGTCTGCCAGCCACCAGCAAAAGTGTGTAAGAACAAGGTGAAAGAATAAGGCTCGGCTCGGAGCTTTTGTCTCACGAGAAAACACCACTAACCTGTCCCGTGGCGACGATGACTGGATCCTTCATCAGCTCCAGTGAGATTGGACACTGGAAGTCCTCTGGAATGGCCGGAGGAGCCGGCTTCTCCGCAGGAGCTTCGGGTGTCTCCACCATGGCTGCCTCCGGGTTCTTGGACAGTGCAAGCTCCTGTAGTTTTCCCAGCAACGCGTATACCTTGTCGATGTTCTCGTCACGCTTCGTACCAGCAAACATGGCTTGCAGTGCCTGTGACTCCTGTTGCAATTCGGACATTGTTCTCAGGCGCAACTTCCCAGCCAGTCTCTCCAGAGCCAGCTTGCAACTGTCTCGGTTTCCGCCCAAGACGGTCACTGCATCTTCCGAAAGCTGTGAATCCAGAGAGCTTTGTCTGCCTTTGGCTCGACGCAATTGCGAATGCACAAGCACAACCTGTACATTACAGCAGCAGTTTGTCAGCCACTTTGAGACGATGAAGGAGAGATTTTGCGTGCCTGCTCGTGAACTTCGTCCGACAGGAACAAGGAGTTGTAAGGAAGCTCGTCCAGAGCCTGCCCGAGATTGACGACCGCCGAGCAAAACGCACTGGACACGGCTTCTCCCTCTAGCACCTGATTCCAAAAGCCTGCAAACGTCAGCTCCTTTCACATCCAAGAGCAAATTGTTTCTGTTACCAGATAGAGCTTGCTCCCGCTGTGACACTGGAGCAGCAGCTGCTTGGAGAACTCTAGCGCGCTCTTGAGCGCCTGGAACGACGCGAGCGCTCCCTCGGGCAGCGGCTCCTTGAGATCCCTGACTTCCTCAAACAAGGGGCCTAGCAGCTTAATTCTCCTGGCGAGGCTCACGGACTCCTTCCGGTGCGATTTTATGTACTCCCTGTACATGCTGATATCGTTCACGATGTCAAGCAGCGACTGGAAGAGCAACTGCAAAATGACTTCAGCCATAGTGAAACCACTTCCCCGTGCTCGTTGCTTGATCTTGCTTCACTCTCCGCTGCCTGCCTATCCCAGCTACAAACGATGCTGCTGTCACCCTATCCTAAACGGAAACCAATTCAATCCGCTTGCTCCCTTCAGCATTCCCTACCCGGAGCTTTGAGCCTCGACCACTTCATCCCTTTTGTCCTGCCTGCTGCTATTCCAGCTCGTCGATATTCCCCCTAGCGCACCTAGGATACTACTAAACTTCTATACTGCCCGTGTTCTCCTCCCTATTCTTCCTTTCTCGTCTCCTTCTCATCTCTTTCCCTCCCATTCTTTTGTTCCTGTTTCTACTGCTTCTCCCCCTGCTGCTCGCCAGCCATGGCAATGGTGGGCACATGGCACAGCACATGGTTTGTCGGCCAACTTGGCCAGACGAGACCAGGCCATCCCAGAGCAGCGAACTTAAGCGGGCAAAGACTGGCAACGGATTTTACCAGAAGCCGAAGAAAATAGAAGTAGATGATGCCAAACACATCCCCATCCGGCATGTGTTCCCCGATCTGAATGAGCAAGCGAGAGAGCTTTAAGTTAAAAACAAACATAAAATGATAACTAACCATCTCTTCCCAAAGACTTGCCTTTGATTGAAAGAGCTGGAAGAGAGCTTTACTTAAAACCGGTGAGGAGGAAAGCGTGACATCCCCATCCTTCGATCTGAAAGAGCAAGCGAGAGAGCTTAAGTTAAGAAACGAACGAAAACAAAGGAAACCTTCAAGAGCTGATAACTAACCATCTCTTCCCAAAGACTTGCCTGTGATTGAAAGATTTGGAAGAGAGCTTTGGTTAAAACCAGTGAGGGGGAAAGCGTGACATCCCCATCCTTCGATCTGAAAGAGCGAGCTTAAGACATAAACAAAAAAAAAAAAAAAAAAAACTTTCAAGAGCTGATAACTAACCATCTCTTCCCAAAGACTTGCCTGTGATTGAAAGAGTTGGAAGCGAGCTTTAGTTAAAACCGGTGAGGAGGAAAGCGTGACATCCCCATCCTTGCGTGCTGCACACATCGTCCTTGCTTCCAGTTAAAAAGAAGGAAGGCGGAAATAAAGTAAAAGAAGAGAATGTGCATTTGGCGTACCCGGGAGCGTGTGTCAGACCGCTCCTCTCTCTCCGACTTTGCCTTGCTGTGATGCTGTTTTGCTTCCTTTGGCTTTTAGCAGCACTCTTTTTCCCATCATTCACGAGAACAGGGAGAGATGGGATCAAATGCGGAGCCGAGTGAGGTGGTCAGGCGGCCCAGGCGGCTTTTGTTTAAAGACACAACCAGCTATATCGAGATTTCCGGCCTGAGCATGTTCGCAAGCATGTGCACTGCACAAAGAAAACCATCACAAAAACAAAGCGATTTGTATAGAAACGAACCTTGAAATCTTTCTGGCTGCTGCTGCTGCTGCTGCTGCTGTTGCTGCTGCAACCATATCAAATCCGCAGTGTACGAGGACAGGTGAGCAGTTCAATCTCACTCATGGCGCAAGTACACAGTCCCCTACAGATCGAGCATCTTTGTTGGAAAGCAAGACAAGCTTTAATCAAAGTAAGAAGCAGGGGGGGGGAAACACACGCTTTTTTTACCCGCAAGGCGTCAACTTCTTGTTGCCAGAGCCACGAGGATTTTCATCCTTCCATCGTCCAATGCTCGCTGCTTCTGCTCCGCTGCCTCATCGTCACTCCCGTCCTTGAGCCCTGGTCGACTTGGAATAACTGCTGGTTTCTCTCTTGCAACTTCCGCATCACCTCCGTCTCTTTCAGCCTCGCCTGCTCAGTGCTCATGGTTGGCAAGCTGCACCACCACCAACCGGGATTTAGCCATCGATAAAAAAGGAGAAAACGTAAAACGAAGAAGGTGAAGAAGCTAGAAACCTGTGACTGGGTTGGAAGATCTGCGCTGCAAGTCGCTCTGTTATGCTGCTGCCATCCAGACTGGCCGGGCCAAACAGCGGTTGGTTGGCACCGTCCGAAATATTTGCTCTCCCTTCAATTGCATCCCGGGCAAAAGTTGCACAGGTGACTGGTCTCAACACCTTTAACTTGGTGATGGCCTCCGGCCTCGGCTTTGACGTGTCTCTCATCAAGAACGGCTTGAGCAAATCCTGCGAAAAAAAAGCAGTAGTTGATGCGAGACGAAACCGGAACAGACACGCACAAACCTCGTCGTTTTCCTTCCGCATTGTTTCCTCCCTTTGAAGCATTTCTAAGAGATCCACCGCCTGCACACAAGTGCATTTACCTTGCACACTGCCAAAGATAATTGGACAACCCAAGCCTGCAAAGGGAAACCAAGGCGTTGATTCCTGGTGTGAAGAAAGAAAGAGAGCTTACTTCTCTTCATCTGGAATATCTTCGTCGTCGTAATCAACAACTTGTGTTCCAGCTGCTTGCATGGAACGCCTCCGTCGTTCCTTCCTCTCATTAATCTCCTGCAGCTTAGATTTTGCAGCTCGTTGCTCTTGAATCGTGCTACATACAAAAACAAAGTTAAGACACCACGGACAAACGAAAACACGATGGGAAAAAAAGATTTTAAAAGAAAGATAAAAAAACTTTTCAGCTCGTCGGATCAGAGTAGCGTGTCGATGCCACCAATTCACCCTCCGAGAAGCTCACAGGATCTTACAAAGGTCCCAAAAAACTAAAAACTTCCCAAAACAAAAGAAAAAAAGAATACAAGATCTGAACCCGTTAGATCGCCTAATACTCAACGAGAGAAAAAAAAAAAAAAAGTTCCAAGCAAGTGCTTCTTTGGCATTGTGGTGGCAACCTAATTCCCTTATTGGCCTCATCCTAGACAAGAAAATGCGAGGATCATGCAAGAACGTTCCAGCGGAGGACGCACTACACATACCGGATCGAAGAGCTCCTTGTGCGCACAATATCACACTTGAAATGGAGAGGAACAAGAACCGCTGGAACAGCGAAATAAACCCTAAAACAATCCCAACGTATCTCTTTGCAAAAGTTCTTTCTTTTATCAACTTGAAATGTCATCACTTCCTGATTTCTTTTGATCCACATCCATTCTAGACACGATCCGACACCTGGACAGTAACCACAGCTCCAGAGCTCTCTTGTGATAGTCATCACTGCAAGAATTACAAGCCGCATCGTCTCCCGGCCGATCATCTTCCTTGGCACTTACGCCACAGCTTCGGCCTCCTTAAGCAAGAAAAAAGAAAAAAGAAACTTTTCGGCAAAGCAGTAAAAGGAAGAAGAAAATGTAGAAGGTTGGCCTTTCTTCCACAATATTGTTGTTTGTAATTACACTTAGATTAGATGAGAATACGATGACCTCGACGTTCAAGTTCCGCACGACAACAACATGGATCTTCTCTATCCTCGATCGTATAGAAGTGAAGAGAAACTTCTCGTACGCGAGTGCCGTCATCCTCGAGGTAAGCCAGAAGGAGTGCAGCACGCAACGCCTTGCAAGGCGACTCCACGAAACTCTTCCGAGAGATAAGCAAGAACCGATGATCTCTCAAGCCGAGCTGCTCTGGATTCCTGCAGGTTGAAACACGCAATCGGTGACAAAGCAATCACTCACTCAACATTGTTCTTCCTGCTCGACTGCGCGCGAGCACTCCCACTTCTGGCGTTGCTTGTGCAACAGTAGTTCTCTTATCGTCTTTCCATTCTACTGGATGCTCACGCTTTTCCCACAGCCCGGAGCCCCTATATAACGTACTTGATCAACGCCCATACCATTGTCTCTCTTCCTTCTCACAAAAACATAAACCCTCGAAGTTCTTGCTGCAGCTATACCAATACAAAGTTATCCATAGCTGCCAATAACGAATATCCCAATGTTATTCTATGCGTTGGAATAAAAAAGAAAAAGAAACAAGACACGCATCTTTCACCCGCAAGGCGTCAACTTCTTGTTGCCAGAGCCACGAGGATTTTCATCCTTCCAATCGTCCCACGCTCGCTGCTTGCTCTCCGCTGCCTCATCGTCACTCCCGTCCTTGCTCTCCTCCTCGAGCCAGGTCGACTTGGACTCCTGCTGCAGCTGCTGGTTCCTCTCTTGCCACTTCCGCATCATCTCCATCTCTTTCAGCCCCGCCTGCTCAATGCTCATGCTCGGCAAGCTGCACCACCGCCAAACCGGGACTGAGCCAACAGGACAAAAACGAAAAACGAAAAGGAGGTGAAGAAACTAGAAACCTGTGACTGGGTTGGAAGACCTGCGCTGCAAGTCGTTCCCTCTCAGTTGTTATGCTGCTGCCAACCAGACTGGCCGGGCCGAACAGAGGTTGATGGCTGTGCTGGTGACCGTCGGAAATATTTGCTCTCCCTTCAATCACATCTTGGGCGAAAGTTGCGCAGGTTATTGGTTGCGCTGGTCTCAACACCTTCGACTTGGTGGCGGACTCACGATGCCAGGCCTCCGCTTTAGCGTGTCTCTCGTCAAGAACGGCTTGAGCAAACTCACCTCCGTTCTGCAGGGAAAAGGTAGTTAATACGAGACGAAACCGGAACTCGCACAAACCTCGTTTTCCTTTCTCACAGCTAATAGCATTGTTTCCTCCCGTTGAAGCATTTCTAAAAGATCCACCGCCTGCAAGTAAAAGCTCATTTGCCACAGTCTACACACACGAGCGCATTACCTTACACACTGCCAAAGATAATTGGACAAACCAAGCCTGCAAAGAGAAATCAAGACGTTAATTCGCTGGTGTGGACGAGGAAAAACGAAAAGAAAACGTACTTCTCGCTCCTCCTCGTCGTCTCCATCTGGAATATCTTCCTCGCCGTAATCAACAACTTGTTTCCCAGCTGCTTGCATGGAACGTCTCCGTCGTTCCTTCCTCTCATTAATCTCCTGCAGCTTAGATTCTGCAGCTCGCTGCCTCTTGAATCGTGTTATCTACACAAGCGAAGTTAAGAGACTGCGAAAAATTCCAAATGCCTTTGCAAGAAAAAAACAATTTTTTTAAAGGAAAAGGAAAAGACCTTCTCAGCTCTTCGCGTTGCAGGATCAACAGGAGTGTCGCGTGTCGATGCCACCAATTCACCCTCGGGTACAAGATCCAGAAGCTCGCAGGATCTAACAAAGGTCTAAAACATCTCAAAAATCATTGTCAAACCAAGAAAACAAATGACAGATCACCTTAAGATGATTGATTGCAGCTCTAACAACATCGATACGTTCCGTAGCTGGAGTCCTCTCAGTCAGCTCGCCTAGATAATACTCCACCTTCGATCAACGCGCAAAGCTAAGAGAACAAAAACAAAAGGAAGAAAGAAGAGCCTTACCAGCAAATACTTTAGGTCGGAAGTGCTAACATCCTCCTTCTTCTCGTTGCTGGAGAAGATCGCGAGCTTGTCCACCATCTCCTGGCATTGTAGCAGCAACCTAATTCCCTTGTTGAGCTCGTCCTAGACAAGAAAATGCGAGGCATCACGAGAACGCTCCGGCGGAGGAGGCGCTACACGTACCGGATCGAGCTGGGACGAAGCGCTCCGCGTGTGAAGCGCCTGCGCGCGCTGGAACAGCAGCGGCAGCGGCACGTCCTCCACGATCTCGCCCATTTCTTCCAAAATGCTATAAACCCTAAAACGCCCAGGCCAGCGTGGCACTTAGTGCCAATGCAAACCCACGTGGCACAAACACGTGGCGGTTTAATCGAAGCATTGCTCGACAATGGTGTTCCTTTTTCACATTGTTCTTCTCGTCCACGAAAGGGACATGGTATTCGTTGTTCTTCTCGTCCAAAGTGTTCGTTTCCAGGCTATTCAACGAACTTTGTCTTTGCAAGTTCTGTTTTTCTTCTTTTATTCCGGATCCCTGGCCATGGTTCTGCTGCCTCTGATCCTCTTCGTGCTCTTCAGATCGTCAGCGTCTCAAGTTGTCGAAGTCCCTGTCAACACGAAGTGGACGATCGATCCATCGATTGATCCCCAACCGGCGATCATCCAGGCCCCCGACTACAGCTTTGGCTTCACGAAAACTTGCGCCCCTCCTTCACTCCCTCCATCCTTCTACCTGTCGATCTGGAAGCCCGACTTCAAGGACGTAAATTGCAGCTGTTCTACCACCGTCACCAGCCTCTGGCAAGCCAACCGCGACTTCCCAGTCTCCGCCAATGCGACCCTCGCATTTGGAGGCGATGGAAACTTAGTCCTGAGCCAAGGATCTCTCCAGGTATGGTCTTCCAACACCTCCGGCCAAGGAGTCGTGGCTATGGTGCTCTATGTAACCGGGAACCTCGTTCTCCACCGCGAGAAGTTCGAGATAGTCTGGCAGAGCTTCGACCACCCCACGGACTCGCTGGTCGTCAACCAGATACTAAAGCTTGGAACCAGGATCGTCTCCAGTGTCTCTCCCACCAACAAAAGCCCTGGAAGCTTTTATCTCGAGCTCCAGCCTCACGCTCTCGTTGGATTCGCTCAGGCCCCTGGAACGCCACAAACTTACATGATCTGGGACCTGGGAAGCCATGAAGTAGCGTCCCTGGTGCTCGAAGGCTGCACTCTCTTCGCATATAGCAAGCTAGACGCTCCGCTAGGATTCAAGAGCTTGAGCTCAGCGCCATTCTGCTTCCCGGGATCTTTCCTCAAGCTCCAACACGATGGCGAGGTGCGCTTCTGGCAGAGCTTTCGAAGGCGCGATTCCATCGTCGTCGGTAGTAGAATGAGCATTGGTGAGTGTGGAAAGTATGGAGTTATCCTGCAGAAAACCTGCGCCTGCCTCGATTTTGATCCATCCACTCTCAAGCTGAAGCCAGTGACCAATGGGAAAAACCCGTGCTCTGTCCCGGAGGAAGTCTCGTCCATGGAGGATCGATGCAACGGTAGCGCTGCTGTTCCTCACCAGTTCGTGGAAGCCCGCGGCTACGATTATCTGCCGCTCCATTTCATGCAAGGGACCTCCAATCTCTCCGCCACGGATTGCCAGAAATCCTGCCTCTCGGATTGTACCTGCGTCGCGGCATTCTTCCACCAGTTTGCAACCCAAGAACAAGCCAGCGCCTGCTACCGCGTCAGCGCCCTCTACACCGTCGCGATCGAGCCCCTGCGCCACGGATACGCGTCGGTGATGTTCCTCAAGATCAAGTCCTCTAGAACCCTAACACTACCTCCCGTCATCCAACGCGGATCCTCCTCCTCCCGCAAGGCGCTGAGGGTCGTCGCCAACACGGCGATCGGCGCCTTCTCGGCGATCACCGCTGCGTCGCTGCTGATCGCGCTCCTCATCGCGCGCTGGAGAAGGAGAATGGCAAGAATTTCGGCGGTGGAAGACTTGGAGACTTAGGGTTTACGTATGGCCTTCAAAATTTTTAAACGAAAGCGCCATTCTTTGTTTGACTTTACATTGACTGTGTTGACTTATCCTTGACTGGAATGTCTAACACGCTGGGTTTATGAATCTCCACTGCTGGTTGTCACGGTGGTCGTAGGGATGAGTGATGAGAAAGCTATTCTCTCTCACGCCGCCATGGGTGTGATCGCCGTGATAGATATCCAAGACCATCCCCGAGTTCTGGTATGTCCGCAGCGCGAGGTATCTCTCCCCGACCCCGTCCATCATCCAGAGCGACGAGTTTAGGCCCTGCGAGCTCGAGCCGCAAGTGATCCTGTTGCCCACCGCATGGTGCTGGAGCGCAAGCCGGGACGAGTAGTTGACGATGAGAATCGCGCTGTGGCCCTCGCGGGGTTGTGGTCTCCGGATCCACATCTGCGAGGAATGCCCGTCGGCACAGCGCGACATGACCACCACGCGGCTGGAGGCGGTGACGCACAGTGTGAGGTTTGCGCTGGAGACGAGCTGCGCCGCGCAGTAAGGCCCCGAGGCCGACGACGACGCCTCTGCTCGATTCATGGAGAGTCTGACTGATGCTGCTACAAGCAGCAGCAGCAGTGGCACAAGATTCGCGGCGGTTTTCTTCTCCATGAAGGGTGATCGAAACACTGTTTGCCTGCAGGAAAAGGAAGAACTTTGAACAACATACAATTTGGATGGAGACCATCGCCATGGAAGCATTGCCATGTTTCGATGGAAAACTAAAAATCTGGAAGTAACGTACTGCACAACGATATTGCTGATCGATTGCCTCACTCCAAAACCAAAGTTGATCAGAGGAGAACTTCCCTACTGCTATATATTCAAGTAGAGAATGTAAAGATGCAGTTTCTTGGTTTTGTTATAAAAAGCTGGGCATTCCGGACGAGCGGATGCCCTTTCTCGGTATTTAAAAGTTTCTAAAAGTGATCAGCAGCTTCTTGTGTATTGCCATTCTTGATTTCTTTTAACTCTCCTTCAAGAAAGTGGACTGAAAGACTTTTTTCTGCTCGTATATACAATGCAGCCGATGCACTCGGTGACGGCAAATGCGTGGGTTGTTTCGAGGATTTCGGAGATACTTGTCGACGCAGGTGTGTACGAAACTTTGATCGCCATAGACTCTGAGAAAAAACAGAGTTTTGCAGCAAAGGACGCTCTAGACGAGGACGAGAACCGACTCAATCAACATCCCAGGAATCTGGCATAGATCAATCTCTTGGTTTTCTATCAAGTCAATCGAGATTTCACTTGAATTTTATTGTACTGATTTGTCTAGCATACAGAGTTTATGAAAGCCCATTGCTCGTTCTCCTGGTGGTTGTAAGGATGAGCGATTAGAAAACTGTTCTCCCTCACGCCGCCATGGGTCCAATCCCCGTGAACTATATCCAGGACGAGCTCCGGGTTATCGTAGCTCCGCAGCGTCACATAGCTGCGCGACGCCGATGCCATCGTCCACAGCGACGAGTTTACGCGCTGCACGGAGCCGCAACTGATCTCGCTGCCGGATTCGTGGCCGTGCTGGAGCGCAAGCCGGGACCATAAGTTGATGATGACAAACGCGTCGCGGCCATCAGGATCGCGGTAGCCGGCGCGTGAGCTCCGGCTCCACAGCTGCTGTGGATCGTCGCGGATGCAGCGCGACATGACAACGATGCCCTGGCTCAGCCCCGTGACGCACATGGTGAGGTTTGCGCGGGGGACGAACTGCGCTGCGCAGTAAGACGGCAATTCCGACGCCTTCGTTTCCATTGCTGGTGCTGCGAACTGCAACACAAGGATGATCGCTGCTGCTGCTGCTGCATTCATGGCGTTCGTGTAGTTTCGAATCACTGACTATGCCTGCGAAACGAAGAACGTAAGAATGCGATTATATGTCAAGAAGTTTAAATACGATAGGTCTAGTACTTCGAACGCTTGCTTTCCTTCAAACCAAGATGATTCGAAAACGAACGGCAGCTATTTCATGTCGATAGTGTGGTACCTTGTTGTTATTGAATGAAAAAGAAATATAATTGTATTTGCAAAGCTGGCGGGGCAAGCTTTCTGTGACTGAATCAAAAGAGCAGATTCTGACAACTATGATCATGCACAAATTGACTGAAGTCAGAGAGATGTTAATTCAATGCGTTAGCAAGCTCATCACAGCCATAACTTTCTGGAAACGTTTCATCTCAGGTTGTAACATTTAGAAGTATGGGAACAGCGCTCCAACACATACTTTTATAATAAGCAATGGCACTCCAACTAGCAGAAGAACCTCGTGCTGAAGTTCTGATAGTTCTGTAACGTCCTGGAATACAGGTGGAGTACCGACACTATGCAATATGACATATGATCCGCTTAAGTTCAATGCGAGAATTTAGCATACAGAGTTTATGAAAGCCCATTCCTGGTTAATCTCGCCATGGCTGTAGGAACCCATACAGGGGAGTTCACTCGAAACCCATGTTACAACGAGGTTCGGTTGGTCGTAGCTCCGCAGCGTGTAGTAGTTATGCGACACAGCCTGCCTAGTCCACAGTGACGAGTTTAGATCAGGTTGTTCTCCGGGTTGTTCTCCCACTGTACCCAAAGTGATAAACGCATCTACGTAATGCTGAAGTGCAAGCTGGGACCCGGTATTGACGAGCTCAAACGCGTCCAGGCCATGAGAATCAACGTTGCCGGCGTATGATCTCCGGATCCATAGCTGTGACGGATCCTTGTGCATGCAGGGCGACATGATGGCGCAGGTGGTGCCCTGGCTTGCGTACGCAGTGAGGCACATTGTGAGGTTTGAGCGGGGCACAATCTCTACACAAGATGCTTCGGATAACGAGGACGAAGGCTCTGCTCTCGATGGGGCGAGTGTAAGCTGCAGTAGAAGGATGGCCACTGCAGCTGCCTTCATGGTGCCAAAGAAGCTGCTGGACCTGTGCCTGCACAAACCATAATGTTAGAACACACTTGGAGAAAGACGAGGAAGAAAGAACATTATAAGAAGTTGAGGCATCTGTTGCTGCCTGCTCGACAATTGCTTCCCTGCAAGCTGAAGAGTTCTGTTCTGCTACTTAAAGTGGAGCTCTGCGCGCATTCCAAGAAAATGAATGTCCTTTCTTGCGATTTTCAGGAGCTGTGAGTCAATGCATAGGAGATGATTCGAAGTGATAAGCAAGCACTAACTTCATTTGGAAGATTGTGAGTTGCATTTGAAAGTAAGATCTTGCCGTTCCGAATCATGCAACTCTGCAAACTAGCTGACGAGCATGAGCAGGATCATTGGCAAGCCTGGAAAACAAGTTAGCTTCACAATCACCACCACGACAATCACAAAACAACTCCCTGGAAATGTCAAGTAACAAGGAACGATTCAAAGATTCCGGTTATAACGTAATGTTCTTCCACGTGGCATAACAGCGTGGCAAAGCGGCTGTGAGTCACCCGCTTACGTGGGATAGTTTCGAATATCTGTCTGATCTTCATCCAAACCGTGGATTTTTCTTTTTATCTTTTTTATTTGAGTGGAAATTTCGCGAGAGGGAACCTAAGGCGAAGGCGTGCGAGTGAAGACGAAGCTCCAGGCGCCGGCAACGCGCTCGAGGGGTGAATTCACGGGCGCGGAGTGATCCAGGTGCGCGCCGATCGATTGGAGCTCGCGTCTCGCCAATCGGGATCGAATCGTAGGGTAATCTCTCCGAGGCATGAAGCGCGTCTTTGGGGCGAGGAAGGAGAAAACTCCGCCGCCTACAGTCGAAGAGGCGACAGAACGGGTAATCGAAATCACTGGCCAGGGAATCCCTTTTTTTTTCTTACTCGATTCTCTCCCTTTCCCTCTACTCAGATCAACAAGAGAGGCGATGGAGTGGACGATAAAATCAAGAAACTCGATGCGGAGCTCGTGAAGTACCGCGAGCAAATCAAGAGAACGAGACCGGGGCCTGCGCAGGAAGCGGTCAAGGCTCGAGCGATGAGAATTTTAAAACAGAAGAAAATGTAAGTTTTGTCGATCAAACTTTCTCGTGCTTTCGCGATCGATCAAACTTTCTCCTTCGCAGGTACGAGGGACAGAGGGACATGCTCTACAATCAAACGTTTAATCTCGAGCAAGTTTCGTTTGCCACGGAAGGCATCAAGGACGCGCAGCAAACTGTAAGAAAAAAGCTTGCGTTTCACTCCATCTGTGGCTCACTTCTCCATGGCTTAGATGTCAGCTATGAAGGCAGCGAACAAAGAGCTCAAAGGCACGATGAAGACGCTCAAGATCGACGATATTGACGTGAGTTTTTCCGTTCTTTTCTTCGTCTCGGCCTTAGCTTTCTACCGTTGCCTTGCAGAAAATGCAAGACGAGATGCTCGACCTCGTGGATTACAGCACCGAGATACAGGAATCACTCGGTAGAAGTTACAACGTTCCGGATGATCTCGACGAGGAGGAATTGATGGGAGGTAAGCTAAGAGACTTCATTCGTGTTTCGATCAGTAACAAGTTCCAGTTTAGAGCTGAGCGCTCTCGAAGCTGAGATGGGAGAGACGGAGCACGATGGAGGAGTTCCGTCTTATTTGCAACCGGAGAAAGATGGCGATCTAGAATCGGAGCTAAATCTTCCCGCTGCTCCATCGACTGCGCATGGTGCTCAAGCGAATCCACAGGTAGGAACTTTGGAGTGATTCATTCCACTGTTTGGCCGTAACTCTCTGTTGATGCGCGTGTGCAGGCCGCGGACGAGTATGGATTTCCAGCCGTGCCGAGAGCATCATTACGTACCTGATGCTGCCAAGCATTTTGTTCTGCGTTGTACAGTACAGGTTCTTTTCTATTCCTTCCGCGAGATTTGCTTGATCTTCACACTTCTTAGTACTGAAACTAGAGCGTCAGCCAAATTTATTTCCTGTCTCGGTGACTCGAGACAGGCCTTTAAGATATGAAAATCAACTTAGCTTGCCATTGCGCGTGCTTCGAGCTCAAAACTAGTCCACTTCTGTGCACAATGTTAGTGATGAAGTTACCGTTTGAAGATTCAATGGGGGTTTTAGACTGGTTCATCGTTCTTTGTTAGTGAGCTTAGCAAGGGCTGGGAATCGATGGGATGGTTGGCTACAGCGCTTTGCTGGAAGGCGAGAAAACTGAGAGCAGTGAATAAATCCAGCGTCTTACCATGGATTTTTTCGGCTGGCTCGCGTAAGTCACCCATATCGTTCCCAACACCAAAAGAGCTCCACCTATGCACGTAGATATTCTGGAGAAACGAGCTACATTAAGTTCCTGAGACTAGAAAATGGTTTTCATACCCAGGAGGAGGAGAGACATCGAGCAGCCAGCCAACGACGGATCCAAAGACGGGCTCCAGCGTTACTGCCATGGAGACAAGGAGAGGACTGCAGTACTTAAGAACTGCATTCAAACCAGTGTGGCCTACAAATCCCGGGCCGAGTGCCAGGAAAACAACTGGAAACCAAAACTCTGGCACAAGAAACACGGAAGTTGAAAGTCCAAAGGATCGAAAAGAACAAAAAAACCAACCTTTGTTGAACCAGCCAAAAGGGCCGCTTACGTATCCCGGCACTGTTTCTCCATCCACGAAAGCACAAGACAAGCTCAGAAAGATGGACGCTCCGGCCGTGACAGGAAAGACATAAATGTAGAGAGGCATCCAAGCTGCACTGCACCACAAACGCGAAGTTCATGGAAGTTAGAAGTTATAGTCTCCCTGTATTCCTATACCTCTCAGGTGGCTCCCGGAAACCATGTAGATCACAAAGGCACAGGCTGCTAGAAACGCAGCACAATCACCGACGAGTGTCACTTCCGCGTCATTCTCCACTCGGGACATTGCAGCGATGATCACAACCCCGAGAAGCCCCGTGATGATCCCGAAAGTTTCTCCAAGCGACAAAGGCTGGCAACGCAGCCAGGAGACCACCGCGAGGATTATCGGCGGTATGGAGACGAGGAGGAGACTATGCGGGAGAGAAGTGTGAAGCAGCGACCAGACCTGAATCGATCAAGAGAGAACAAGGTGTGAAAAGTATGATCTTGGACGAAGAACTTACCCAGAGTCCAAAGTGAAGAGCCAGAGCCAATGCGCTTAACACGACGATCCGGCATTGGTACGCGCGGCGGCGCTGCTCGATGGGAAGCCAGCGCCACTGCCAGACGAATCCAGGGAGAAGGATCAAGGCGGTGGCCTGGAGCCTCCATGCAGCCGACGACACCGGCGCGGCATCGCGCATGAGCTTGGTCACCTGTTGTGCGAATCGAGATCGAGAGAGCATTACGCAAATGGAAAAGAAAATCTCGACAGATCTGTAGCATTACCGCGCCCGCCGAGGAGATCGCAAACACAGCGAGCACGAGCACGGGGAGAACATACCAAGGCCGCGCGGTGCCAATGCCATCTCCATTCTCGGCCATGCCCTGTTTCTAGGGCAAATGTCCTGCTTTCAGGTTTTAGGGCTAAAAAGGAATATAGCATATTAAAAAGGAATCGTCAACAGCAGGGTTCGAACCTGCGCGGGCAAGCCCAACAGATTTCAAGTCTGTCTCCTTAACCACTCGGACATGTTGACCTTTCATGCAAGCATTTCGAGATTGGCAAAACCTGTATGAAAACCCGAATAGCTGGCCTAAGAAAACTCTTACAAATTCACGAGACTAGCCTTTGGCTCCGACGGTGCCTGTTGTGATCGGAAGAGCACAGCAGCAATCCCCAGAGCGGCCACTTCAGTAACTTTTTTAAAAACCTCGCTAGGCACCGGCAACACGACTCCGGGATGCTAAGATCACTCTCCGACGATGATCTCACGTACGGCGCCACTCCAAAGATCCTGGAAGAGCTCCTCGTCGGCCTATTGCGGCACCAAGAGCAGGAAGAACACGAGCATGGCGAGTTGGAGTGGGAGGTGAAATCTTCTTCCGCGTCCAAAGAGTTTGCGTGCTCCAATCTCACCGAGGCGATCACATCGCGCATGCTCGTGTACCTTGGCTCGTCCTTCCTCAGCATCAATATTTTTGATCTGGGGTGACAAAAATAGGATCTATCACGATTTAGGGATATAGTTATTTAGGGCAATTGATAGGGTTAAAAGGGGTAAAGTACAAAGAGCGAGGTGAAGTGTTACAAGGGTAAAAGGGGCTTTGAAATGTTGGCATTAGGGTTTATGGGATATTCTAGGGTTTAAGGGTGGATGAAAGCCCTGGTCCCGGGGGCGATGGCGGGAGGAGCGGGGCGAGTGGCGCTGGCGCGGGGCAACTCGATCCTCTTGTGCCAGAGCAGCGGCAATGGATTCGATGTGAGCTCGGTAGGATTTCACAGCCAGGCGCAGCTGCATTGCGAAGAATCGCCGTGGACGGGGCTGGATCCCGACGACGCCGCCCCGGAGGATCGCGAGGCGGCGGATTATCAGCTCCAGCTGCTCCAGCAGAGGGGATTCTTGTTCCGGACGGAGACGTGCAATGCGCTGCTGTCGGGGCTGATGTCGGCGCGCAAGCACGATCAAGCGCTGCGGCTCTTCAAGGAGGTCCTGGCGGGGCTGTTTGCGCCCAACGCTCACACCTACAATGTGCTCATCCGGGGCTTCTGCAAGGGCGGGCAAATGCACCAGGCGGTGAGCGTCTTCTCCGACATGAAATCCAGTGGCTTGCTTCCAAACGCCAGCACCATGAACACGCTGCTCCTGGGGCTCTGTGAGATCGGCCAGATGTCCAGCGCTCTCAAGCTCTTCCGGGAGATGCAAGCCGGGCCTTTCCTCCCGACTAGCGCCTCGCACAACATCCTCTTGCGGGGTTTTTTCATGGCCGGGAGGGTGAGGGATGCGCTCGCTCACCTCCAGGATATGAGGAAGAGCTCGAGCTCGGTGGCAATTGGAACTTACAACCTGGTTCTCAAGGGGCTGTGCTGGGAGAACAAGTCGGCCAACCGGCTCGAGCAGGCTATAGAGTTTTTCAAGGAGATGAAGGCTAGTGGTGTGGAGCCCGACCTTGAGAGCTACCATATACTTCTCTCGGCTTTGTCCGACTCTGGAAGGATGGCCGAGGCGCACGCTCTCTTTTCGGCAATGACGTGCTCTCCGGATATCATGACTTACAACGTTCTCATGGATGGCTACTGCAAGATTGGCCAGACTTACGAGGCGCAGAGCCTGATGAAGGAGATACTCAAAGCCGGGTACGAGCCAAACGTTTTCACTTACAGCATCATCATCAACTGCTACTGCAAATTGGATAAGGTTGAAGAGGCCTGGGAGGTATTCATGAAGATGATCGAGAGTAACTGTGTTCCGAATGCCGTCACCTTCAACACTCTTATTGCCGGGTTCTGCAAGGCTGGGATGCTCGAGGACGCTATCAAGCTCTTCGCTGAGATGGAGAAAATTGGGTGCAAGGCAACTATAGTCACGTATAATACTCTGATCGACAGCCTTTGCAAAAAGAGGGGAGGAGTTTACACGGCTGTCGACCTTTTCAACAAGCTCGAGGGAGCTGGCCTTACTCCCACTATTGTCACGTACAACTCTCTCATCCAGGGGTTTTGTGACGCGAGGCGGCTATCCGAGGCAATGCAGTACTTTGACGAGATGGAAGGGAAGTGTGCACCAAACGTAATAACTTACAGCATCCTCATCGACGGCCTTTGCAAGGTGCGAAGAATGAAGGAAGCGGCGAAAACACTGGAGGACATGAAAGCTCACGGCTACACTCCAACCGTGGTCACTTACGGGGGCCTCATCAACGGGTTTTGCAAGTGTGGAGAGCTGAAAAGCGCGCTCCTGTTCTTCGAGAAGATGAAGCTCGCCGGCTGCGCTCCGAACACGGTGATTTTCAACACGCTCATCGATGGTCTGTGCAAAGCGGAAAGAGCAAACGATGGCCTCCGGCTCCTGTGTCATATGCACGCCGAAGGCTGCAAACCGGACGTTATCACCTACAACTGCCTCATCTCCGGGCTTTGCAGCGCCAACAGAGTCGAAGACGCTCAGAGGCTTTTCAATGGGATGGCCTGTGCTCCAAACGTGACGACGTTCAACTTTTTAATCCGGGGACTGTGCGCGCAAAAGAAGGTGGAGGAAGCGAGAAACATACTGGACCGGATGACCGCTCCGGACATGACGACGTTCAACACAATCATCCTGGCATTTTGCAAGGCCGGAGCGATGCATGACGCGAGGGAAGTTATGAAGGACATGCTCAAGCACGGCTTCTATCCCAACACGTATACCACCTATGCTCTCGCTCATGGGATTCAGAGTTCTAAAGGCAAGTGATGGACAACGCGCAGCAGACTTGATGCCGTCCAGCAGAAAAAAAGCTGTTTTTTTCTTCAGTAGGCGGCTCGGGAAGTTACAAGCAGCTCTCGGTAAGGTATTCTTCTTTGCTTGCATTATTCGATCTTAATTTTGTTTTTGCAGCCTCAGCCTGAAGGCGGTTTGAAATATCTTATTCAGTTCGTTCTAGAATTCAGGCTTCACTCGCGGATACACCAGAGCCACAAGGTGATGAGTCATTTCGATGCCTTTTAAGGCGGTTGATTTTGACTGTAGATCGATTTCACTGGGTTTGACTTTTGTCTCCATGGACAAATTGTAGGTGTTGTTTCCGAGTTGGAAGTCTTACGGGAGGAGCCCGCCGGTCATCGTGTCGAGAGCGAACGTTTGAGTAGGTATTGACGATTTTCTGGCAGTAATGACAGTTGTTTTCAGGAATCGGAGGGTGTTTGTGTGGTTTAGAGTTGCCTCGTTCCAGTACACTCGAAGGTTTTCTCTCATGATCTGCCGGTGAGCGGTCCCCCAAGCTAAAACTTATCTTTTTTTTTTCATCAGGTCTCAACCAACCAGCCACCACAGCGAATGGCAGCTTGGCACGTTGGCACGGGTTCGCCAGCCCCTTTGACATGCTGATGCGTGTGCCGGATGGAATGTTGGCGTCTTTCCAATATAAATTGGACTGGCAGCGCTCAAGGTTTTCATCTCGAGCCAAGCTTCTGAGCCAGCAGTACAGGGGCTGGACGGACTTGAAAGGCATTTTTCTCCAGTTCCATTTCAAGTGAGCACGTTGGAAGCATTTATTCTCCTCTGTGGCGTTCTTTCTAACTCGGAGTTGTCCCAGGATTCGACATGGCCGACTTAAAGTACTCGCGGCTCGTCCAGTTCGGCCTCGTGGAGAATTGCTCATCTGAAGGACGTGGAATGCACACGGTTGCGGCGGATTTGGATGGTACACTGCTCAGACGCAGAAGCTCGTTTCCATACTTCCTGCTGGTGGCTCTTGAAGGAGGTAGCCTCTTCAGAGCAGTTGTTCTCGGACTTTTGGCCCCTATCGCCTGGCTGCTTTACCACTTCGTCTCGGAGGCAGCAGCAATTCAACTTCTCATCTATGTCTCTTTTTCGGGGCAGAAGGTGTCCGAGATTGAGAAGGTGGCAACGGCGGTTCTGCCGAAGTTTTACTCCCAGGACGTCCACAGTGATGCTTTCAGAGTTTTCTCGTCCTGCGGGAAGAAGTATGTCATCACTGCCAATCCTCGGATCATGGTGGAGTATTTCTGCAAGGCCTTCCTTGGCGCGGATAAAGTTATTGGGACTGAAATCGAAGTGGACGATGATGGACGTGCTACAGGCTTCGTCAAGTTCCCAGGTGTGCTCGTGAGTCAAAACAAGAGGACCGCCTTGAAGCTCGAGTTCGTGGACGGGGAGCTTCCCGAGATCGGACTCGGCGATCGAGAAACCGACTTCGCCTTCATGTCGCTTTGCAAGGTAAGCGCACTCTTTCCATATCATATACATATTTTGCATTTCGAGCATATAATACTTAGCTCTGCCTCTTTCGTGCTGCTTTAACTGTTGAGGGGTGCCAGGATTTGCGTGACACTCCAGAATCAGTTACGAGAAGCGAGTTTTCTAACTCTGGTTGTAACCGTGTGATACAGGAAGCTTACGTTGTTCCCAAGAGGAAGGTTGACGCAGTGGACGGCAGCGCTCTGGCGCAGCGCGTGATCTTCCATGATGGTAGGCTGGTCCAGCTCCCAACGCCGTTCGTGGCGCTCGTCACTTTCCTCTGGCTCCCTATCGGCTTCGCGCTCGCAGTGCTCCGGATCGGCCTCACCTCCCGTTGCCCCCGAAAGTACATGGGAATGATCTACGCCATCCTCGGCGTCCGCCGCATCACCAAAGGCAAAGTTCCTCGCAAACAAGACGGCAGGGGGCTCCTCTTCGTGTGCAACCACAGGACTCTGGTGGATCCCATCTTCCTGGGATTGGCCGCCGAGAGGGACGTGACCGGGCTCACTTACAGCATCAGCCGGGTGTCCGAGGTGCTATCGCCCATCGTCACGGTCCGGCTGACGAGAGACAAGGAGCGCGACTTTACGAAGATGAAGTCGCTGCTGGAGAGGGGGAGGGACCTGTGCCTGTGTCCGGAGGGGACGACTTGCCGTGAGCCGTTCTTGCTGCGATTCAGCGCTCTCTTCACCCAGCTCACGCACAGGATCGTCCCGGCGGCCGTGAAGACGAGGCAGAGCATGTTTAACGGGACGGCGGTGCGGGGGTGGAAGGGGATGGATCCATTCTTCTTCTTCATGAATCCATTCCCGACGTACGAGGTGGAGTTTTTGGAGGAGCTCCCCGCGGAGATGAGCGTCCAAAAGGGCGGCAAGAGCTCGTTCGAGACGGCCAATTTCATCCAGAAGATGCTGGGCGACAAGCTGGGATACGAGTGCACGACCTTCACCCGCAAGGACAAGTACCTGATGCTCAATGGCAGCGATGGAACAGTCCCCACGAAATAGGAAGGGGTTGGAAAAGAAAACAAGATGGAACCGTTGGCTGGTGTTGACTTGAATTGACTAGAGTTGACGGTTGAATACTTTTTTTTTAGTGTTGGCTGGCTATCTAGCTTGCACTAGTAAATGCTAAAGGTTATAGGCAGGCGATTTTAATCCTTCCACATGGCTGGGACAGGAAATATTGACTTCGTTCAATTAAAGGGGGAAAGGTTTTAGGGCAGGGGTGTTCTAGGGCACGGCAGCGAGCTGGCATCCTCACACCGGCAGCATGGCGTCCGGCCGGCGGTACGGCGCTCGTGTCTCGCATTGCCAGAGAAATGCCACTCCCAACCTCCGCCACCTTTTCTCTCTCCGCCACCTTTGCGAACTAAACAAATGTGTTAGAGGAATCAAAGATCCAACACACCGAAACTTCGTTTTTGTTTTCTTCTTGCCTGGTCTTTGTGGAGGCGAAGAAAAAAAGGAAACGAGAGAGTCTTTGTACCTTTGGGAATCAAACTGCTATTGCGTAGAGAACTTTGCACAACTTTTACGCTGTCTCATGTAATAGCTATCGTTGAAATCTCCAATTGCCCGCAGGCATATTCCCCCGACATATTCTATACGCAACTGTATCCACCAAATGCAGGTACGTATAATGTCGCCAGCCCAGCCAAATCGACCGGGTTGGCATTTTCACGGCCAGGGGGGTCAATCCGGCGGTCAGTTCCATAACTCACTCGCCACTAGCACCGCGACACGTGGCCCGCGTAAACGGCCCCGCCCCGGCGGCATTTAAAGTGCACTAAACTCCCCACTCTTTCCCTCGTGCTCATGTCATACTGGCCAAAGCCGTCGACGACATAGCCTATTGCGCGGCCTACAAATTCTTTCCCAGCTCTCTCTCTATCTCGTCGCCATAGCTAGGGATACACTACCTTCTTGCGCCTTCTCTCTTCTTTCTCGGCTTGCGGCGCTCGATCTCCAATCTTTACAGTGGAAATCTCACTTGCGGCGGCGACGAGCGAGCTCCTATTCTATCGATCGGCGCCGGCCGATCGTCCCGCGCGCCTTGAGGTATCGATCCTGGAGCTGGAAATTTCGGGCAATGCAGGTGATCTAACGTTGCTCCTGGCTTGCAGCGCTAGCTAGACGCGGCGGCAAGGATGTCGCTCGACGGCGGCAAGGTCACGGATTCTTTCCTGGTAGATGCTCCATTCGAGCCGGTGGAGCGATGCTCGTCGGCGGGGCGTGAGAAGCAGACGTGCGTGGCGGATTTCGACGGTACTCTCATCCGCGGCCGGAGCTCCTTCCCGTATTTCATGCTGGTGGCGCTAGAGGGAGGAGGCCTCATCCGGAGCGTGATTCTTGGCCTCTTCGCGCCGCTCGCCTGGATCCTCTACCATTTCGTCTCGGAATCCGCCGGCATCCGCCTCCTCATCTTCATCTCCTTCGCCGGGATGAAGGCCAAGCAGATCGAGTCGGTGTCGCGCGCCGTGCTGCCCAAATTCTACTCGGAGGACGTCCACAGCGAGGCCTACCGAGTGTTCTCCTCGTGCGGCAAGCGTGTGGTGGTGACCGCCAATCCCCGGATCATGGTGGAGCACTTCGCCAAGACGTGCCTGGGAGCGGACAAGGTGCTGGGGACCGAGATTGAGGTGACGAGGAGTGGCTACGCGACGGGATTCCTCAAGCGGCCGGGAGTTCTCGTGGGGGTCAACAAGCGCAAGGCTGTGAGGCAGGAATTCGGCGAGCATTTGCCCCATGTCGGCATTGGCGATCGAGCCACGGACTTTGCTTTCATGGCGCTCTGCAAGGTACTTATCTCGAATCCAATCCCGCTCTGCTTGGTGGGTGGAGTGGTTGCTTAGTTCTCGATCGAGCTCGATGCATTAGATCAACACTCTGGGCATTGTTTTCGATCGATGATCCATCCCTGCAATTGCTGCATGAGTGGATGATTCTCTTGTTTCTTTTGTTTATCTTTTTTCCTTGTCTCATGCACACATTCTTACAAGCGCACTAGCCTAAAAGAATCTCTTCCAAGCAGCAGTAGAAACTTCTTTCCAGTCAACTAACGAACCCATTTGCTGACCACTATCAGGAAGCATACGTCGTCCCACCCTCCAAAGTGGAGGCGCTGAGCCGAGACAAGCTCGTCAAGCCCGTTGTCTTCCACGACGGCCGCCTCGTCCAGCGGCCCACGCCCTTGACCGCCCTCGTCACCTTCCTGTGGCTGCCCGTCAGCTTCGTGCTGGCGGTGTTCCGGATCATGGTCACGGTACCCTGCCCGCGCGAGTACGTGACCATCGTCTACAAGCTCGTCGGCATCCGGCTCATCGTCAAGGGGCCGATCCCGCCGCCCAAGAAGCGGGGCGAGTCCGGCGTGCTCTTCGTCTCCAGCCACAGGACACTGTGCGATCCGGTGTTCGTGGGGGTCGGGGCCCGGCGGGAGGTGACGGCGCTCACCTACAGCATCAGCAGGGTGTCGGAGTTCCTGTCCCCGATCAAGACGGTGGGCCTGTCCAGGGACCGCGAGAGGGACGCGGCCAAGATCAAGGCGCTGCTCCAGAAGGGGGACCTGTGCATCTGTCCCGAGGGAACCACCTGCCGCGAGCCATTCCTTTTGCGATTCAGCGCACTGTTCGCGGAGCTGACTGACAAGATCGTGCCGGTGGCGCTGTGCACGAAGGGGAGCACTTTCCACGGGACAACGGTGCGCGGGTGGAAGGGGTTGGATCCATTCTTCTTCTTCATGAATCCCTTCCCGACGTACGAGGTGACGTTTCTCCAGCAGCTGCCGCCGGAGCTGACGGTCCAGCAGGGCGGCAAGAGCGCGATCGAGGTGGCGAATCACATCCAGCGGGTGATCGCGGACACGCTGGGATTCGAGTGCACGAACTTCACCCGCAAGGACAAGTACGGGATGCTGGCGGGGAACGACGGCACCGTTCCGGAGAGGCGGAGGAGCGGCGGCGGAGGTGGCGGCGCCGCCAAGGATCTCCCGAAGGACGAGCAAGCGGCCCAGGGGCAAGACCAGGTAAATGGCTGTAGCTAAAATTGATTTGCGAGGATCGTGGATCCATGCCATGGGTCGGGTCTCACGCGCTCCTTCGTTATAAGTGAATGTAAGCTAAGCTACTGGCTTGCTCTCTCGATTGACTCATCAGGAATAGATCGATCGGGTGGAGAGCATCGTGATCGATCGACTCGATAGGAGAGCAAAGAGAAGGTCTGTCCTCTCTGTGTCCATGCGCTTGTCCACGAAGCGAACTAGAAAAGCTTGAAAGCGACGAAGCGAAGGAAAGAAAAAGATGGCGCTAGCTGTAAACCAAGCCGATAGGGACAGCAATTAATGTATCCTTTTGGTGGGTGGCGAAACGAAACCACAGAGGGTGCCAAGTCCTGTTCTTATATGTATATATACTACTACCTAGTCTTTGAATGCTGTCACATGATATCCAATTTATCACATTGCTTTGATAAAATCACTTATGTAACGTGGTACCTACTTGATCTTTGTCCTCTGGACCGGTATAAATTGACATTGTCCGGGTTCTGGGCGAGTGTCTTTAATCATACGTCCACTTCTCCAAAGGACACGACATTGATAGAAAACCCTAAATTCCCACCAACTTTCGGACAGAAACCCTAGAAACATATAACGAAATAAAAAAATATCATATCATTTCCTTCTTTTATCTTTCTCTGTCCCTCTCCCTGTCCAGAGTAATCACACTACACACACACAAGCTAAACAGAAGAGAGAGCTGCTACAAGCGCTTGAGGCTCTTCTTCCTTACATCCATCTTCTTCTTGTCTACCTGGAGCTTGAGCGTTCCAACGTCGCCCTTTGGCTTCTTGGCGCTGGGGGACGGGCAGGCCGACGATGGCGCCTCGCCCCCCGCGGCGTTGCAGCCCGCGTCCGCGCCGCTCGTGTCCTTGTTGGCGGTGTTGAGCGTGAGAGGGACGTGGATCTCCTCGGCGTTGCTGTTCACCACCGTCGACTCGGCTATGGCGACTTTGTTCGTCCTGGGCTTGGACTTCATCGCGTGGATGTTGGTCATTAATCTGCCAGAGAGAAAAGAACAGGAAAGGAACGTGAGAGAATCATGAAAAAGCCTGAAATGTAGTACACCACTTACCTGGCGTGCTTTGCGTAGCCCTCGTAATCCTCCATCAGCATCTTTCCAGCGTCTTCATTGAGCGCCGACTCTGGAAACGGCTCTATGAGCAAGCAGCGCACGACCTGGAGGTGGAGTGACACATTGTTTCGTTATATTCTCGTCTGGAAAGGAAGCGTCACCAACGCAAAAGTGTGGGGTTACTTACGAGAAGAACATGCCTCAAGCCGAGCGTCGGCTTCCAATCTTTCTTCAAAACGTTCACGCAAATCTCTCCGTTTTTTGCAATGTTTGGATGGAAGATTTTGGTGACAAAGAATCCTACAGAAGAAGAAAAAAACGAAAACGCTCGAGTTGAAAGCCAGGAGTCACTAAAAAATGTACCTTTGGGAGGCGTTTGGGGGAAGTCGGGGCTAAGCAACAATCTGATCCGGAAGACGCCACTTTCGTACGGTGTTCCGGCTGAAGCGCCAAAACCACTACAGGAATCAGTCGAGCAGACGAAGAATAACAAACAAAAAATCCTTACGTGGTCCCTCAATATCTGCGAAGATGCTCGAGAAGTTGTCGTCATTTACATGAACACGGATGTCCTCTGGAGGGCTCTCGTCTAGGCTCTTGAGCTCCTTTGCAAGCGCTCGGATTACCTTGGGAGGTAAGTTCTCAGCCTAGAGAAAAAAACAAAAAAAACAAATCCAAAGCAGCCTTTTGAGATTGAGCTTTCGAAAAGACGCTACCATCTACATCCCTAGAGCAACAATCCAAACAAAGCAGCTCACACACACACAGCCACATGTTTTGGGGCACAGCGAGAGAGATTTACTTACCATGAACGGATCGAAACCCTAGAAAGACACCCCTGCGATCTCCTGGAATCTGGATGAGCACCAGAATCGACGCCAACCCCCCGGCGCCCCTAAATCCCTAGAATCTCCGGCTCATCGGCCGCGGCGGCGGCGGGGGCAGCGCCAGTGGCGAATCGATGGAGCGGCGCGCTCGCTGTGCACGGGACGATCCAGCCAGACACCGCAATCCCTTGCTTGCTGCATGCGATGGAATGGACTACCTAGCCGCCATAGCCAAAAGAACGAATTTTCTTCTCGCGAGAGCGAATGCCCTGTGCGTGTATTTTTCGAGAAGTGGAAGTACCACCGACTGCATACCAGAATATGCCACCTCCAGCTGGACATTCGTACGGGACATTCCGTCGGACGTGGCATATTCCAGGCCGGGCGGAATGGGTACCGGTAACGGCCACTGGAAAAAGTAGCCGTTTGTAAACACAGTTAACGGATGGTAACTAGAATTTCACTGGCGAGGGTTCGAATCCATAGAAAAGATAGAGCGCTGGTTCGAATCCTCCGAGAAAAGTTGGAGATCGCGTGTTCGAATCTCTGGAGATGGCACTATATGTTTTGGTGTTTGAAAATAATTTTTGGAGGGTTTTTACGAGCTAGGCTATGGCGGAGAGCGGCGATGGAGTAGGAGGTGGAGGCGCCGCGACGCCCTTCGACGCCGCTCACGTCGCCGAGGTCAAGGCATGGATCACCAGCACTTTCGAGGCGGTGAATCGAGAGGTACCGGCATTCGAGTACACGCCGCGCACCGTCGCGCATCTCCACGGCCTGGCAACCCTATCGCAGAATCGCACGCAGGTAGTGGGGATTGTGGCGGCCGATCTGCGGCAGAAGGCAGCGGAGTTTCGAGCGGAAGGTGCGTGTGCGTAGATCACATTTTCTGGAAGTCCCGATCGCGATGATCTTTGCTTTGGTACTAGCTGCCAGAGTGAGGGAAATTCTGGACTGCGCGGGCTTGGCGCAGGAGAATTTCTCGCAGAGTGGAGTGGCTGCCGCTCAGACGCTTGCAACAGCCGCCCATTTGCTGGATCTTAAAGACACCGAGACCGGAAGGTTGGAACTTTGTTTTCTTTTTTACAAGCTTGTTTCAAAACACCATGCTTGCTTACAGCTTCTTGATAGCCATGGCGGACCTCTCCCTTAAGAAAACCGACATTGAAGAGAAGCGCGCGGCGGTAAAGAAAGAGTCGAAAATGCTCCTCGACAACACGCGAAAAGCCATTTCCAGATTGACATATCTAAAGAGGTGGTGTTCTCGTGTCCTTGAGGTTTATATCAGTTCTTATTGCCTTTCTTTTTCTCCTAGAACTCTTGGACAGCTCGAAGAGGAAGTGGCCGCACGAGATGGACTCATGGGACAGTGGGAGACAAACCTAAAGGTGATGGCCTCCAAAGAGCGCCAATACTTGCAACAGCTTGCCAACTACAAGGTAGTGTCACTTCTGTCTGGAAAAAGTTCCAACGCCTTTTGCTTTCTTTTCTTTACAGGCAATCCTTTGCCGTGTTGGATACACACCCGAGATCAGCCACGGCGTGTTAATGCAAATGGTTGAGCACCGAAAGGACCTGGAGAGAAAAACAAAGCCAATCCTCGACACCCTGCGGAGCTACCAGGATTTGCCGCCGGTAAGAGCCTCAGCTGTCCATGTTCTCAAAATCAATGCGCTTTGCCAGGACAAAGCTCTCGCCGAGCTCGCGATTGAAGACAAGCGAAGAGAGTACGAGACCGCGGAGAAGCATCTCGAAGAGGCGCTCCAGTCGGCCTTAAACACAACAAATGACTAGCGCGGACTTGCGGGGTATCTCGTTTGTTTTCACTCTTCTGTACCGATTTCATGATTCCAGGCAGATCACGCAGAGCTTTTATACGCTCTAAGTCACGATCATCCAGCAGGACAACTTCACGCTCTCTGATCTCGACTCTCAGCAACTGGATCAAACTTTATGAGAGTTTGCGCTATCGAGCTCGACACCTGTTCTTCCTTCTGGGTGATAAAGCGGAGCGCACTAAAAATCTCCATTTTGCTTTTCCCAGGCCTCGAAAGTCGGTGCGTGGCCGCTGCTTTCTTCGCGTCGTCGCTCCCCTCATGATCGCCTGGTAAAAGGCCATGGCCGTGTCCACGTGGCGCCGTGCCATTAGTGGCAGTCAACGGCACCAGGCATTTCCCCCGGATTGCCGGCCATGTCATAAGCCCCGCGCATTCAAAAGAGTGGAAGAGGAGAGAGAGAGTGAGAACTAGGAGGAGGAAGAAGAAGAGGCGTTGCGCTTAGATCCCAGAGAAGAGAGGAAGAGAGCAAGAAGACGATGGGATCGAGCGCGGCGTGGATTTGCGCGCTGCTCGTGGCGGCGGCGCTGATCGGGGAGGGGAATGGGCAGCCCGCGGCGGCGGTGGATTGCACGTCCCAGCTCGCGCCGGTGGCGCCGTGCCTGGATTACGTCCAGGGCAATGGTAAGACGCCATCCTCGGATTGCTGCAAAGGATTGTCGTCGCTGGTGACCACCAGCCCCGTGTGCCTGTGCCAGCTCTCCGAGGGCAAGCTCAATCTCTCGGCGCTGGGCGTCACCGTGGATATGAAGCGAGCGCTCAGCCTCCCCACGGTTTGCAAGATCAAGGGCGCCGATCGGAGCCGGTGCGCGGGTAAGCTTTCCATTCCATTCTCTGTTGCGGAGCTCGAATCTCATTGTGTTTCTCTCGTTCTTCCAGCGATTCTAGGAACTCCAGCTGCAGCTCCTCAGGGTAAATCCATGGTTTCTCGGCGATAGATCGTACTGACATTGCGTTTCTCTGTTTTTGTTGTGGCTCTAGCCGCGGGGCCTGGGCCGGCTATGGTGTCCGGGAGCGAGACGGGGTCTCCGGGAGCTGGATCTGGTGCAGCCTCGACGCCCACAGGAGCAGCAACAATGGCGACTTCTTCCGGGACATTGATCCTCGCAGCAGCAGCTCTGTTGGCGTGGAAATGGACCTCATAGAGCGATGCAGCGACTGATCCGCGAGCGAGCGAGTAGAGACAGCTATGGATTCGTCGTGATGGTTTTTGGGTCTTTGTTTTTCCTTCCTTCTAGCCATAGCCATAGCAGCAGCAGCTGATTGATTGATTGATTGATCGCACCATTCCACTCTACGTGTTTTGTTCATCCGCCTGTCGCTGTTCTATATCAGATAATCGCGCTCCGTTGTCCGTGCTGATTTTTAAATACCACCGACCCAAGCACGCAAGCAGCCCGTGAGATCTGTCCACTATCACCCTGTTTTTAGGGTTCCTCAATGGTTCATGCAATTCAAAAATCTCGTTTACAATCCCAAATTAGGGTTCTTGCTTGTGACAATGCCATCGTTCCCCGCGAGGACGCGATACTTGTCCTTGCGCGTGAGAGTGGTACACTGGTAGCCCATGGCGTCCGCGATTAGCCGCTGGACGTGGTTGGCGACGTCGTGGCTGCTCCGTCCCCCGCCGCCGCATGTTTGATCCGGTGGGAGCTGCTCCAGGAATTCCATCTCGTACCTCACGGCCGGATTCATGAAGAAGAAGAGGAAATCCAGGCACTTCCACCCGCGTGCGCTGGTGCCGTGGAAGACCGGCATGGTAGTCGCCAGGGAGACTGGGACGATGGTGTCCGTGAGCTCTGCGAAGAGGGCGCTGAAGCGCAGCAAGCAGGGCTGGCGGCACGTCGTGCCCTCGGGGCATACCGCCAGGTGGCCCTGCGCGAGCAGCCGCGTCATGCTGCGGGCGTCTCGGTCCTTGCAGCGCGTGAGCCGCGCGGTGCGTATCGGGGAGAAGAGCTCGGACACCCGGCTGAGGCTGTAGGTGACGGCCGCGACGGCCTGGCCCATCACGAAGGAGATGAAGACGGGGTCGAGAAGCGTACGGTGGGAGAGGACGAAGAGGACGCCCCGCTGGGAGGGCTGGAATATCCGCGGCGGGAGACGCCCCCTGACGCGTACAGACACCCCGAGGAGGTGCTCGACGGGCAGCGCGACGCGCTTGGGGAGGCAGATACCCAACAGGATGCGAGTGATCGCGAGCGGGATCGCGAAAGGGAGCCAGAGGAGGATCGTGAGCGCCCAGAGAGGGGTCGGCCTGTGAACGAGCCTACCGTCGTGGAAGATGAGCGGCGGCGCGGAGATCTTTGCCTGCTCGCCATCGCCATCGTGATCCCTCACAATGTAAGCCTTCTGCGCGATCAAATCCATCCAATACACCATCAGTCTCGATCCAAAGACGACGAAATCTTACCTTGCAGAGCTCCGCGAAGGAGTCGGACCCAATGCCTATATCCGGGCTGTTAAGCTCCTTGACCGCGCGGTACCTCTCCCGTCCCCGCGGTATGCCGCGGACCAGCCCAGTGTACCACCCGCCGCGCGTCACGTGCAGCTCGCTGCCCAGCACGTGCTCGGTCTCCAGGAAGCTCTTTGCGAACGACTCCACCATGACGCGCGGTAGGGACGTGACGACGTACCGCCGGTCACACGTCGCAAAGACGCGGTGGACGCCGCGGTGCACGTCGTCAAGAAAGGCCTTTGGCAGTACCGCGCGGGCGACGCATCGTACCGCCGCGTCGCGCAGCCCCGCGAACGTCACAAAGGCGTACAGCCGGATGTCCGCATCGCGGCATTGGAGGATGTGGGTGAGGATCCAGACGATGGGGAAGGAGGCGAGGAGGAGGAGAGCTCTGAGAGGACTCCCGGCCTCGAGCGCGACGAGGAAGAAGTATGGAAATGTAGAGCTTGATCGGAGAAGGCCGCCCTCGAGGAGCGATACCACTCGCTGCTCGGGCCGGGCGTCGGCCGTGTCGATAGGATCAAAGAGGCGAGCTCCATCGGCGTCGGCGTTCTCGGTGGTGGATTTCCGGAGCTGGACGTAGATCATCTTGGAAGAACTCGAGTGAGAGTGAGTGCTCGGGGATGCACGAAACGCTCTAAGATCTTGGTGATGGAAGAAGATCAAAGCACTGCTTGGTGATGGAAGATCTTTGAGGTTGGAAAACTCTAGAGATTATATAGCAGCCGCGGGAGATTCCGCCACCACCACCACGACGATACCACTAGAACTTGGAACGACTCATTCCAGATCACGAGAGAGGAGCATGGGGGGGGGGATTGGATTTGGAGGATGCGTGGCTCTCGTCCCGCCGAAGTTGCGCCACTACAAAGTGGATCTGGAGGAGAAGGTTTGTAAAGGGGGGACTCGAAAAATCCCTTGGTTGGTAGTGAAAGTGCTTGAGTCGTGGAAATCTTTTCCCTAGATCAATGGTGAAAAGGGCGAAAGGAAACAAAATCCCGACACCATGTGTCTCGCCATTAATGCCGCATTATATCGGTTTCTAGGGTTTTGGTAGGGTTTTTCTTTTAGGGCTTTGATGGCGGAGGAGGAGCTCTCGCGCCTGGCGCTGGACGAGGAATCCGACAGCGATGAGGAGGGGGAGGTGGAATTAGGTTTCGTCCAAGCGCCAGAGGCGCCATGGATGCTTCGGCGCCAGCATTTTCCCTGTAAAGCTGGCGGAGCGGCGGTAAAAGAAGCTCTTGTTTCTGTGCTGCCTCGCATGTGAAGGGATTCAAGGCGGGCGCGTCTTGTTTTGTCCTTTTTTAAAGGAGTGAGTGATTGTGGTGGTTTGATTGGCAGGCTTGGCTCGATGCTGACAGCGTCCCGAGGACTCCAGATTCGTGCTGTGATTTTTGCGAGGAGCCTCTCCGTTTTTTGCTTCAGGTATTGATTGGAGCTTGATTTGTTCTAGATTCGTTTGGTTGTGCAGATTTATGCTTCGCTGGAGGAGAGGAGCGATACGTTTCATCGAACGCTCTTTATGTTCATGTGCTCGAAGATGGAGTGCTTGAGAAGAGATCAAGCCGAGCAGAAGAAGCCCGCGCAGTCGTCTTCGAGAAGGTAGTTTTTTCTTTCGACGTCGAGCTTTCCGTTGTTTTAAAATTTTCTATTGCAGTGTGAAGGTCTTTCGATCGCAGCTTCCGCTTAAGAACATTTTCTACTCCGATACGCCGTCCAGAGGGAAGAATGATCGTCCTTTGACGACTGGAGGTACAAAGTATTGATGTTCTCCCGCCTAACATGAACTTTTTGTAGTGGATCTCTGTACGTGGTGTCGTACATGGAGAGGCGAAAAAGTCTGTGGAGGGTGTAAGACAACAAGATACTGCTCTCGCCAACATCAGGTGCATACCTACTTTCGCTTAATTGACATTGTCAGTGTTGGACATGCTATTCTCCAGGTAGAGCACTGGCGCGCTGGTCATTCCTCTTCATGCAAAACTCAGGCACCTGTGCCAACGAATAACTCGAGCAATAACTTATGGCCCGAAATGGAGATAGTACTGGGTGAAGAAGAACGAGATGAAGAAACTGGAAACACTCTTCCAATCGTACCCGCTAACCAGTCTCTTGCCTTGAACGCAGAGCTTCAAGGCTTTGAAGAGGTCTGTCACTTAGTTCCTAGAGTTTCTTACCCTGAACTCTGAATCGCAGGCATCTGGAGAGAAACAGTGCTGGGCAAACTTTCAAGCACGTATACAAAGAGCCCCAAGTCAAGTGCTCAGGTTTGGATTATGAGTTCCATCTGTTTCTTGTGTGTTGAATTGCCACACTTCAGATACTGTCGGAACAAAAATGCCAAAGTGTTGTGGATGAGACCGGACGATCAGCCTACGGCCGTGGATATCTCACCTTGTCAACTTTGTGGAGGACCTCGCATCTTTGAGTTCCAGGTGTGCATGTGTCATGAGTTGCCTGTGTTAATCCCGAATTTTGATTCCAGGTTCTGCCGCAGCTTCTCTATTACTTTGGAGTAGATAACGAGCCGGATTCCCTTGACTGGGCCACGGTTGCGGTTTACTCGTGTTCTAACTCTTGCGAAGTGGAAGGCTACGCCCGAGAGTTCATTTGGGTTCAGCTTCCGATCTGAAGAAGCAAGTGACTTTAACTTCGAAAGGAGAAACTTGCCAGATATGATCTTACGTTGAATTTTATCTCCCTTAACTCTTTCGCAGGGAAAACCACTATGGTTTCGATGCACGTTTTCATTTTTCTTTTCCAGCAAGGTGACGCATAAGTCACTCCGCAGTCTCAGGTTCCCAAGCAGTCAATCGACGCGGTCTCCAAAGCAATCAGAAGACAACTATGTCGAATCTTGTTGCTGGTGCTTGGGAAGTATCATCAACATTTGGCCAAGTTGATGTCTCAGAACGGAGAACCTTCGGCAGACGTCCAGATTTTATCAAAACTAGCTTTTGTCTATGTCGTTTATTATAATTTGGCTTCAATTAGCTGGCTGAGCTTCACACATCCAAGTCCATCACGACCACGAAGACAAATATCTACCGTATTTGTTTCTCACTCTTCTTTCCAACCATGAAACAACCTACAACAGCAATGTTGATCTAGCAATTTGACGCAGTCGAAAACACTTTGCTCGAGTAAAGCGGGAGGTTTTCTCGATCATCTATCTACTATTTGAGATCCCAGGACTTCAACTACCAAAACATGGCTGGATTCACGTTCACAAATCCAGCGCATGCTTTACCACCTGTGCATTGCAACCCATCTACAACATAACTTCAAGTGGATCCAAGCGCGCCTATAAGAACACAAAAGCTTTGGTGTTACCACCCCGTCTTCCCAGGCTGAATCGTTTACACCATTTGCTCTCCCGAATCCAGAAACTTAACATCCAAAGGCCTCCAACGCCGATGAGGGCCGGCCTTGAGTGTGATCGTGGAAATGGGAGTGATTCATTCTTTAGACTACCTTCGGGAATTTAGAAATTTATGTAAGTTGAGAGTAACTACAAAGTTTCCCAGTTGCCGTTTGGCATATCTTTTTGAAATGATATCCATCCGTCACCTTCCTTTCTAGTGTATGATACCTGGAAAAGCTTTAAACCAGACTTCAACATAATCATTAAAATTTCATCACGAAGTCTGGGGAGGAAGAGCAATTTTTCTAATTCTGCTTCTTTTGCATCTTCCTGTACCATTAAGATATATCAAAATTACAACACGTCAACAAAATCATTAAACGAACCTCATCTTCCGTTCCAAAAGGCGGGCATGGTTCAAAAGGTGTGACAGGCTCGAGCAAAACAGGGATGTAACATCCAATGACCGCAACCTTGTCGGTGCGCAGCTCCCACGGTAAATCGTCTTTGTCATCACGTCTATTTGACCGCTTTGTTTTAGCCAAGAGATGCTACAAAAAGAAATACTTTGTGAACAGTTGTTAAATCTAATCTAGAGCATACCTCTTGCTTTTGTTGTTTGCTTTTAAGCCATTGTTGTGCATCCACAGTGCTTGTAAAGATATTTTCCACGGGAAGTTTGCTCCTCCACAAGGTCTCAAAGCCTCTTAAGTACAGTGGTGGCACTTCGCTGAAAATCAACTCAGGATTGGGGGTGAACTCCATCATCATTTCTCCGACGAGTGTCCTGGCCCTTGAAAGGGCATCCCCTGCGTACACCCGCTCCACGAAAGCACCCTGAAAGTGAAAGAGTCTTACTATCACGAAGAACAATTAATGTACCAATAGCTTTCGGAACATGAAACACACTGATGTTCTTCCAAAGCTTGTAATGGAAACGATGAGCTGTACAAGCCTGTGACTTCCTTTAACTTTAGTCCCTGGAAAAGATTAAAACTCAAAGATATCAATAATAAACAAGTTATGACACTTACTCTGGATGTAGCTTAGAGAATCTAGAGTTTTTTTATCTATCCGTTTTATGGATATATATTGTATTGTGCGCTTGCAGCTGGTTGCAAGCTCTGTGACCAACATATTAAAACAGTTAGCTAAGAAAAACAAGAATTTTACCGAGCGTTTTTGTGATCTTGAAACCCCAAGTAGATTTAAGAACTTGAGGTTGCTTTTTTGCATCCTGTAAATTACACATCAAGGAATGCAACGCAAAATCAAATTCTTACCCATTCCATCAATGAAGCAAGTGTTGCTTTAGCTTTAGCTAAAGCAACACGTCGCAATATATCATCCCACCGTCCTAAGATATCAGCCGAACGGCCGATTCTTCGAGACTCCATTAGAGGGATTTTCCCGTCACTCACAGTAAATGTTAACGTTCCTCGCAGCAGGGGTTCCTCACGGAAACACGGATCAAGAACCTACAGGACAGTTTCACGTAAAAAGCAGCTTATAACCTTCAAACTCACCACTAATTCGTTGCTATCAAAAACGCCAAACGTTACAGTGATAGGTAGCTGCTGTACCTTGACCATGAACTGGGACAAGAGAAATATGTAAGAACCTTAGAAAAATTGTTCATAGTGAATCCTTACCTCTGCCTCTCGTCTCTGAAAGGAGAGTATGGCCGCCAAAACAGCAATATTGGCACCATCAATCACATTCCTGCAAAAACACAAAACAATTCAATGCCTAGAAAGGAAAATAAAAAACAAGAAGAGCATTACCCGCCCTGATGTCTAACCCAGATTGCAATGCGTAAGCTTTTTCCTGGCATAGCGCAGACACACTCACTGCAAAACTGTGTGAACAAATATAGCTCCGTTTTGCACATAGAAAATACCTCAACAAGCAAGTAATCTTTCTTGACAGCTCTTCCGGCCCAATGTCGAGTGGAGGCTCATCAAACTCAGTATGCACATTGAAGAACGGATGAACCGATTCAACACTCGCACTCACAGAAGCTTGGATTACAGATGTCCCCAGGTAGATGACACCAGTCCTAAAAAAAAAACGATCTATCAATCACTGAGCTCTCAAATTTCGGACTTTTACTTGGATGGAAAGATTATTAGTCGCCGGGCATCAAAAGGACCGCGGCCGTCATAGCGAACCCACGCTGGAGCTGCTGCCCGTGCCAGCGGCGTAGTAGCCATCGCTCGGATTTCCGATGCGCTCGTACGCGCTGTGCTGCTGTCGCGCAATCTCGTTTGCTTCTCGACCATATCAAAAGCCCTAATACATTGCCAAGTGTCCGTGGTCTCCCGAGCTAGACGCCGACGGCTTTGATATACATATCTCGCCGAAACCTAAGAATACTGGAAGATCCATAAGCCCTCGCGCGCTGGTCATTCCTCTTCATGCACACCTGCGCCAACGAATAACTCGAGCAATAACTTATGGCGAGAGCGAAGAACAAAGAGATGAAGAAACTGGAAACACTCTTCCCATCCTACCCGCTAACCAGTCTCTTGCCTTAAACTCAGAGGTTCAAGGCTTTGAAGAGGTTTGTGGTTCTACCTCGAATCACAGGAAGAGAAACAGGGTTGGGCGAAATTTCAAGTACGTATACAAAGAGCCCCAAGTCAAGTGGTGACGTTTGGAGATTCCATTTATTTCTTGTGTGTTGAATTGCTACTCTTCAGATACTGTCGGAACAAAAATTGGGATGACACCGGACGATCAGCCTGATATCTCACCTTGTCAACTTTGTGGAGGACCTCGCATCTTTGAGTTCCCGGGGTGCATGTGTTAGGAGTTGCCTGTGTTAATCCTCGAATTTTGAATGCCAGGTTCTGCCGCAGATGCTCTATTACTTTGGACAACGAGCCGGATTCCCTTGACTGGGCCACGCTTACGGTTTAATCGTGTTCTAACTCTTGTGACGTGGAAGGCTGTTCATTTGCGTTCAGCTTCCAAGCTGAAGATGCAAGGATTTCGAAAGGAGAAAATTGCCAGATATACAGGGAAAACCACTGCGCGTTTTCATTTTCCTTTTCCAGAAAGGTGAAGCATAAGTCACTCCGCAGTCTCAGGTTCCCGAGGAGACAATCGACGCGGTCTTCAAAGCAATCATCTCCAGAAATCGTTACTATGTTGGACTTATTGTAAATGGAATCTTGTTGCTAGTACTTTGGAAGTATCATCAGCATTTCACCGGTTGTCTCAGAGACGAGTGGCGCGGAGAACCTTCGGCAGGCGGCAATCTCTTTTGACTTGGATATGTTGACTCGGTATGGATGGACTCGGTATGAGCACACGGGAAGATGGATCCGGGTTTTGATGCTTCAAGAGGGCAACACCTCTTTGGACAGATCCATTTCTCAACCTCGGCAGCCAACATGAAGAGAACGAGCAAGCCTCCAGCGGTGTATGCTTCGGCTGTCTTCGTATTCATACTGCTTGCGCTGGTGGTTGTTTTGGGGCCATTTGATCTTGGATTTCTGTCAGGCCAGACTCTGGCTGGTTCGTCCAGATTTTTTGCAGCCACTCCCGAGAGCCTCGCAGCCAGCAATCAATTCGTAAGTAGCAAACTAAGGTCGAACGTATATTCGCTAACTCGTTTCCTTGCATAGACCGTGGAGGAGCTGAGAGGCTTGAATCAAGTGCTACACGATGCCAAGTTTGGTGACAACACGATAATTCTCACGCATCTCAACCAGGCCTGGGCAGCAAATGGCAGCATGATCGAGATGTTCCTTCGCAGCTTTCACGAGGGGATTGGGACAGAGGAGCTGCTGGATCATCTTGTCATTGTGGCACTCGACGAGCCTTCCTTTCAGCGGTGCGTCCAAGTTCACAAGCACTGTGTTGTTCTCAAGACCGAGGGAGTGGATTTCTCGGGAGATCAAAAGAGTTACATGGCTGAGGACTACTTGAAGATGATGTGGAGAAGGATTCAGCTGCTCAGTGTCGTCCTCGAGCTCGGCTACAGCTTCGTCTTCACAGTGAGCTCGAGAAGTTTTCCATTGACTTTTGCTTGAATGACGCGTTGTTTTTATCCTTCCAGGACACTGACGTGTTGTGGTTTCGCGATCCATTCCCTCGTTTCCATGCGGGTGCCGACTTTGAAATCGCCTGCGACAGATTCAATGGCGCCGATGCCGACTTGAGCAATCCAGTGAACGGAGGCTTCCTCCACGTCGTCTCCAACAGCAAGACAATCTCGCTCTACAAGCTGTGGTACGAATCCCGTCTCAGGTTTCCGGGCAAGCACGATCAGCACGTCTTTGACGCGATCAAACTCAGCCCGGAGTTTGGAGCTCTGGGCTTGAACGTCCGGCTCTTGGGCACGGAGTATTTCGGCGGGTTCTGCGAGAAAGCAAAGGATCTGGACGTGGTTTGCACCATGCACGCCAATTGCTGCATCGGCCTGGAGAAGAAGATGATGAACCTGGAGCTGGTTGCCGAGGGCTGGAGCTTGTATAAGCTCATGACGCCGGATCAGAGGCAACACTTCCAAATATCTTGGAGGGCTCCAGTGAACTGCCCATGAATTTTTTTATCCGAGCGTGTATTATATGGATCGAAATTCTTTTTGTGAAGGACAAGTTACATGTCCGATTAAACTTGCCCTTTAGGGGCATTTGCTGCAAACGATTTTGAAAATAAAATAGCGGTTAAACCCGGGGAGATGGGATAGTCTTATAGAGCTGAATCCCTGGATCGAGATCCTGGAAAAGCAAGGACCCTCTTCAAATCGATCACTCCTTTTCATTTTTTCTAGCATGGGCTCTCCTCTCTGTTTTCCTGTTCTTGACTGGCAATGGAGGCAATTCTTCCCATCATTTGCGCGGCAATGCCACGTGGCGTGCTTACATTTCATAGTGAATAAAAAAACAATATGTTTCAAGTGACAACCCTAGGGGTAGGGGATAGTCTTATTCCCAGGATCTTTTCTTGAATTTAGGGCTACATATATGAGATGTATCGACTTCCAACGGCCGATATCTTGATCGGCGAGAATATGCGCCGATCGCCGTGTCAACGATCCGGGCGTTGGAGGGCTAGGGTTCTAGCGGGCATCGCCGAGGGCGCAGGGGATGGTGTAGAGGGCGCCAATCCGAGAGGCATGATTTCTTGCAGTCACTGGCCGAAATCCTTGCATGAATTGGCGCGGCAGACGTAGCCGGGGGCTTCCAGGATCTGGTGAGTGTCGCGTCTAGCAGTGCATTGATCCTCCACGGACGAGATTTCCTCGGGGACTTTCCCATCGATCACTGACTCCAGCTTGAGCGTGGATGGATCAAAGTCGAGGCAAGCACAGCTCCCTTGCCGGATAACTCTATACTCTCCGGGAAGCAGAATGTCGATGAGATCAAGTTCTGGAATCCTAGCAGGTCGTCTAGCTTGTTATATGCGGAGAGATGGCAGCCGTCGAGCACCAGATAGCTCCCCAGATCCCAGATAAGTTTGTGCCGTTCCAGGGGAACGGGCGAAGCCAACGAGAGCGTGAGGCTGGAGCTCGAGATAAAAGCTTCCATGGCTTTCGTTTGTGGGAGAGGCGCTGGAGACAAGCTTTAGTATCTCGTTGACGAACAGCGAGTCCGTGGGGTGGTCGAAGCTCTGCCAGACTCCCTAGCCATTCCTGCGGAGGAGGACGAGGCATAGAACGCCATAGCCACAACTCCTGTTCCTTGGCCGGAGGTGTTGGAAGACCATACCTGGAGAGGTCCCTGGCTCAGGACTAAGTTTCCATCGTCGCCAAATGCGAGGGTCGCGTCTGGGAAGGCTTGCCAGAAACTGGCAACGGTGGTGGAAGAGCTGCATTCGACGTCCTTGAAGTCGGGCTTCCAGATCGACAAGTAGAACGATGGCGGGTGCGAAGGCGGGTGGCAAAGCTGTCGGAGAAGCCCCTCATGATCGTCAGGTTGGGAGCGACCGATGGATCGATCGTCCATTTCGAGTTGACAGGAACTTGGAAAAAATCGATTTTTCAATTTTCTTGAAGCAACCAAAGTGAGAGCGGGATCAAAACACTGGAGGACGAGAAAATCAATGTAAAAGCTGGAAGTTTTGCCACATGTTTAGCCATCTACGACAGGCTTATAGCATCCATCCGAAAACGACACTCCATTGGCTTGTCCGTGGAAGAGGAGGAAAGAGCTCGCCGAATCTAATCCTGTGATAAGTACAGTCCTCGCCAAAAGGAAAAACTTAAAAAAGTGCTCTCTCCATACCTCTAGAAGTTCTTTTGAGTTGATCCAGCCAACCTGCGACGAGTAGTTGTTGAAGAAACTTGGAAACTCTGTCCGTACCTCTAGAAGCTCGAGTTGGATCCACCAAGTTTACTTTGCTTTTCTTTTTTTGTGTTGGGGAGAAGGAATTACGGTTGTCAAGGGACGCGAATGTAAGTTGCCCTGTGCTGCCGTGCACGAGTTGCTTTGAAGAAAGATGATGGCGAAGGTGGTTCGCGGTCAATTTTGTGAGGCGTCAATGAAGACTGCTCGTGCTTGCCACTGTCACTTGTCAAGCTGCCCTTGATCTCTTCGCTTTCTTCCCGAATCACAACTTGACTGTAGTATGCGGGATCCACATTTTCTGGCGACTGTAAACTCGGTTGCAACTGCATTGCTTCGAAAGCACTGTTAGAGAAAACAGCAAGAGAAAGAGAGACACAAGGAGAGCACGAACCTGTGGAAAATGGCGCCTGTAGGCCTGAAGACGTATTTGCGGAGAGGCTAAGCAATGAAGGAGCTCGAAAAACTTGGACTGGGCGAATAGAGAAGCGCGCTGCCAGAGAAGATACGTCAGGTCTTTGGCCTGTCCCCTCAGTTCACCCAATCTCCGATCAATTTCTGGTTCGTAGCTCGTCACAAACGGTTTCAAAAACGTCGTGTAAATGTAGTTTGTCCCCTGAAAGTATAAATTCGATCTGGCTCCAGACAGTACAAACAAAAACTATAGCAAACCTTAGTCTTGGGATACCACAAGTAGACTATAAAAGCAAGCTTTGCTTCATTGTACATCGGAAGCCTGCAGGAAGCAAAGACACCTCAGACTGCTTGCTATCCTAGCTAGCTCTGGATATTACCAGGAAATGAGAGTGTCGGTTATTCTTTCCACAAATGTCACCACCGCAATTAGCACCCTAGACAAACAAACTGGTTATAGCTGCAAAGAGAAAACAAGCTTCCAACAGTTACCAGTATTGGCACCAAAACGTTTGTTCTTCCGCATCGGTTTTCCTGTTCTCGATGCTCTTAAAACACTCGTATGCAGGATAAACGTAGCCAAGGAACATCCTGAAAAGAAGACGACTGTGAAGAACATCCAGGAACCAAAACTCCAAAACACTTACGTGAGAGTTCTCATAATGAAAGACGCCATCTCCCACAGCTCTACGCCCTGTTGCGATGTGTACTCAAAACCCCGAGCTTTCTCCTTCGATGGAACTTTTTTCGTGTCCTCCTCTGCGAAGATCCATTCTAATCCCACATTTCAGCACGAAAACTCGTGCTTCCTGCAGAGCTAACTCGTCAACATCATCAGAAATCTCACAATGGCTTGGAGGGCGCGTCGGTTTCTTGCAACCGGCTGCAGCCGGTCTCTCTAACACGTGGAGCGAGATAGTTAGGTACAAACGTCGGGCCGTATATTCCTGCATCACCTCTACAACACCACTTTTCCTCACTTACTCGTACTTTATTCTTCCATCGCCTTCGGTGATGATATCTTTGAATGACGCACCACCCGGTATCATCGGCAATACATGCTCCTGAGTGTTAAATCAATTGTTACTCTAGAACGAAAAGTAGCAAAAATTCTAATTCTCCTTGCCTGATGAGGAACAATCACGTCCAGGAGATAAGGGCCGGGCGTTTGAAGCATCGTCAAGATTGCTTCCTTGAGGTCCGATTTCCTTGTTACTCGAGCAGAAGGCACCTGAGAAAAAAGTGAAATAAAAAAAGTCATTCGTGAAACCAGAGCGTAATTACACAAACATACTTTGCAAGCGTCAGCAAACTTACGGAAGTCAGGATAGATCTCTGCTTCCGCGTCGGGATCGCCCAAGTATGTGTGAGCTCGGTTTGCCTGAAACCAAATCATAACTGCCGATGCTTATCAAAGTTGTCAAAGCAATACCTTGTAAAATCGATCCTCCCACTGTACAACCATCCCCAGGTGCTGGTTATTCAAGACCATTATCTTCACCGGCAGCTTCTCGACGTGGATTGTGGCCAGCTCCTAGCACACACAGAGTAAAAGATAAGTAACGATTTTGTCTTCGTAAGTTCAAGAGATGCACCTGAATGTTCATGATAAAACTGCCGTCCCCATCGATGTCAACGACAGGAATACCAGGCGACGCAGCAGCCGCACCAAGTGCGGCAGGGAGCCCAAATCCCATTGCTCCGAGACCTGGCACATAAAGAAGAAAAAAAAGTTACAAGAGAGGTTTCTAATCTAGTAAGGATCAATCAAACTCTCACCTCCAGAAGTCAGCCATCGACGAGGTTCCTCGTGTTTACACCACTGCGCAGCCCACATCTGATGCTGTCCCACACCAGTGGAAATAATGGCGTTGCCTTGCGTTATCTCCGCCAGAGTTCGTATAGCATACTGCGGAACGATGCAGTCGTTGTCAAAACACGGATACGTAAGCGGAAACTTTTGCTTCTGCTCTTGGAGCTCGTCCCTCCACGCTGAGAAATCCAGCTTCATGTCCCTGCTCTTCAACATCCTGTTCAAGCCACGTAGAACCGGCTTCACATCGGACCATATCGATATATGCGGCTGCTTGTTTTTCCCAATCTCGGCCGAGTCGATGTCTACGTGAACAATGCTCGCCCTTCGCGCAAACATCTCGAGCTTCCCGGTTACACGGTCATCAAACCGGACACCAAAAGCCAGCAGCAAGTCGCAGCTATCGATCGCGTAATTGGCATACACGGTCCCGTGCATGCCCAGCATCTGAAGGCAGCGTTCGTCAGACTGAGGGAAGACTCCCAATCCCATCAACGTAGAGGCGAGTGGAATCCCAGTTTCTTCGACAAATTCCCTGACCTCCTCGCTAGAATCTATGCACCCCCCTCCGCAGTAAATCACTGGCCTCTTCGCCTCCTGGATGAGTCTGAGCACCTGTTCTAGCTGGGACGGCTCGGACACCCGGGGTGGCAGCCTTTGCACGTAAGCATCTAGCTTCATCTTCTGGGACCAGTCCGGGATGGAGAACTGCTGCTGGATGTCTTTGGGAATGTCCACAAGCACCGGCCCAGGCCTTCCAGACGACGCCAGAAAAAAAGCTTCCTTGATCACGCGTGGAATGTCCTCCACGTTCATCACCAGATAGTTGTGCTTGGTGATGGACCGCGTCACCTCTACGATTGGAGTCTCTTGAAACGCATCAGTGCCGATCATTCTTCGCGGCACCTGAGCATCCGAGAAAACAAGCTAGAAATGCTCCAAACTGTAGCTTCACATACCTGTCCAGTGATCGCCACGAGAGGAACGCTGTCGAGCAATGCGTCGGCCAAGCCAGTGACCAAGTTGGTCGCTCCAGGCCCGGACGTAGCGATGCAAACACCGACTTTGCCACTCGACTTGGCGTAGCCCTCGGCGGCGAAGATCTCCCCTTGCTCGTGTCGGCAGAGGATATTGCGAATGCAAGTCGAGCGCGTCAAGGCCTGGTGAATCTCCATGGACGCGCCACCGGGGTAAGCAAACACCACATCTACACCCTGCCGCTCCAGGGCCTCGACAAGAACATCGCAGCCCTTTCGCGGCTCCGTGGCACCGTAGCGCGACTGGAAATCCATGGAAACCAGCTGCTGCTGTTGCTTCTGCTCCTGGAGCTTGAGCGTCAGTGCTGGAGATCCATTCCCAGCGCCCGCACTCGCGATTTGCTCCGGTTGCGAATGGGCGGCGACGTACCTGCGATTGACGCAGCGGCGTGGACGATTCGCACAGCATTGGAAGCGCCGCGAGCTCACGGTGAGGAGATCACGCGGCATTCTCTCGCTCGCCGCGGTCAGCTTGCCGAAATCCATCGGCCCCGCTCGCCGCCAGCCCTATCCCCTGTTCTAAAACCTTCAGCCCTAAGCCACGTGGAAAACGCCAGTTACAAAAACGTGGCAAAATGTCATTGGCTTACCTTTTATCCTTTATTTACTTGCTCAAGGGTAAAGGAAAGCATGCTAGGGCTGACGTTATATCCTCGTAAGCTTGAAACAAGCTTTGACCGTTTCGCTACAGACGACAAATTCAAACAATGCTAACGCAAATGCCGTGTAAGAGTTCTTGGATAAGTTCCAACACACCACATCGCACGACTATATAAACCCCACAAACTCGATCATGCAATTACAATCATTCAATCCATCTATCTATCATCTAAAGCTATTCTTCAGTGCTGTCTTCCATAAGTTCTTGATCATGGCATCCACTCGCGATATCCTCATTGTCTTCAGCATGCTCATCGTGGTTAGCCAGGTAATTCTTTTCTTGAAAACAAAGAATGGAATAAGAATTGTAGAGGTTTCTGGTGAAATTTTGCAGGCCAGTTGCCATTTCTCTTCGTCTTGCACCGAGATTCGCTTCTACGGCAACATCATGTCCGCGAATTGTAGGACGGATGCTGGCAAAGTGGTGAGGAGCTCCATCGATGTGAACGAGTGTGTGGGAGTCGACTATTCGGGCAAGCTCGATTGCTCCTCCAACTTTGTTCCCAGATGCCACAACGTTGCATTCAATGGGATCACAATGGCTGCCACCTGCAAAGATGGCTATGGACATGAGGTCTTCTCCAACCGGGCCCTGGACGAATGCATTGGCAACGATGACGGTCACCTCATTTGTTGCTAGAAACAGCCATCTTCTCATAAGAAATTGGATTCCATCAGTCTGGAGCAAAGATAAATCATTTGATTGCTTAAGAAGTTTGGATCCATTACGTAAAGTTTGTGTGGTTTGGAAATAAAATCATTTTGTAAACGTATTTCCTTATAAAAATGTCACATTGCTGTACTCATAGAAGTGTCGAGAAGAATTGGATTCTATCAGTCCGGGCATAGATTTTATCATTGCTAGCAGATGTTTGGATCCAATACGTGGAAATAGAATACTTTTTGAGAGCACACAAGATCATGCAAACTCCACTTTTGCTTGTCAATTCACTTTGCCAACAAAGACCATCCTCTTGGCTAGAGCGTGCATCATGTCAAACATAGTTTCTTGGGTCAAGAATAACCCACAAGTTCAATCAAGTGTCCGTAGTCATTTTGTTTTTGTCTTTCGGAAAATGCTTAGTCGCAAAACTCAAGAATGATGATAGCTAGCACCAAATGCCGTGTCGGTCTTTGGGATAGGCTCCAACTCATGGCATGACACGGATCCGGACTATATAAGCCCAGGGAAGCTCTGGAATGATCATTCAAGCCTTCTTCTTCAGTATATAGCACTCTTAAGAGCTCGCTCTTCATATATCACTTTGATTTCTTTTACCTGTACTACCATGGCATCCATCCGCGAGATCATCGTCGTCCTGTGCATGCTCATCGTCACAATCCAGGTAATCTTTGAGAGTTTGATATCGATTGATAGTTTGGCCATGGGTTCCTTCAGGCTTGCCAGTTCTCTTCGTCTTGCACGGGGATTAGCTTCGATGGCCACACCATGCACGCGAAATGTAGAACTCCGTATGGGAAGCATGTCAAGAGCTCCATCGATGTGAGCCAGTGCGTGGGAGTCGACTACACGGGCAAGCTCGATTGTTCCTCCAACTTTGCTGCCAAATGCGGTGATGTTGAGTTCAATGGGATCACCATCGGTGCTCGTTGTGCCACTGCCAAGGGCTACAAGCGCTTCTCCAACCGCGCGCTGGACGATTGCATTGGCAATGTCGATGGCAAACTCACTTGCTGCTAAAAAGTTGGATGAGCATTTGAATAAACTACGCTGGTTTTATTAAACTAAAACTTTGTGAATCGTTTGATCAATATCTGGGCCTTCGCTTCTGTGCTTTCTTCTAGCTATGGCGTCCACAGCTTTTTCCGAAGGCCTCGAAACCTGGAAAAAGGAGATAAACGAGAAGAAACTGGCTTGAAAGGAGCTTTAGCTCTCGTGCCAACGAATTTTCAACAAACGAGAGATTTTTTCGAAGTCTCTCACAGTAGTGGAGGAAAGCTTGTAACTTACTTACAATATGTTGAAGTCCAGAAGGCCGTGCTGCAACTGTCGTTGGAGGAAAAAAACTGAAAGGCTTGAATGAGCACCTTTTAAGACTTGTAATTCTTTTCTGAGAAAAGAAGAAACTATAGTCCAGAAAGAATCCTTCCATTGCAAAAAGTATATTGATAAAATTCACCAGCCATGTGGTATATTGACTATTGCTTTGTGGGCCATGAAACTTTACGCACCATCATTGAAAAGAAAATAAAAAAGCAGTTTCTATACTACCACTCCTTTTTAGGGTTAAAATAGGTGTAGGGTTTTGTTAGATAAATTTTGGGTACATGAAGAGGTTTTTATTTCAGAATAAGGTAGATTTATCAATAGTAATGGCACTTAGATTGCTGCAATTGATTATATCCAAAAAGTAAAGTGGGTTGGAAGTAAAGTTGGGAGTTTGTAAATTGCTTTCTATACATCTATTAGATTAGAGATTTAAATTGATTTTTGTGAAATAATCCCAAAAGATTAAAGAGTTCTTGACTTTGAAGATGGAAAAGTTGTAAATATCACATTCTCTCAAGAAAGTAAGTGGGTAATAAATGGCAATAGATTTTAATTAATGATTTTAGTGTGGCAATTGTTCAAGTTAAGTTAACAATAAAATAATGATAATGTGATAAAATTCAAGTTGTTTGTATGTAAGCTTATAAATTTAGACTTTTTAATAGGTTACCAAATATCCTAAAACTCTTAATTGATTAAAAAAAGTGTATTTTTATTATGGGCCTTTTCCCTTTATATTTGAACTTTTACAAATTAGTTTTTGCCAGATGTCAATCTCAATATATAATGTGATTCACTAAACCAACTAATAAAGTCAATTCCCAAAAAGTTCTTTAATATTAAATATAAACTCCTATTTTTAAACTTTCAAGAAGGTCATCTAACCTAATATTATTTAAATCCAAGGATGTTTAACCTCAATTATCTTAACACTTTTAATCAATTAAAAAAAAAGGGTGCACTTTTGTTCATAAGCTCTCTCCCTTTATATTTAAATCTTTATAAATTGTATTTTAAGTCATTCTCTTTAATTACTTCCAAAATCATCAACTAAGATAACATACCATTCTACCAAGTTAAATTGAAATTTCACTAGTACAAAAGAAAGCAAAGTTCTTCAATATAGATCACAAATCACAAATCAGTAGATCACAAATTAGTGAATTAGCTAAAACTTGCTTGCTGGATTAAGGTGATAAAAAAAAGTAAAAAAAATTGTCCTAAACTTTGGTAATAAGCATCCACCACAACCAGTAAATGATAAATATATTTCTATAAGTTTTAAAATGTTTAACTTTTTTATTTTATAGTGTTTTCAATTGTAGTACCACAACCTAAAAAAATCACAATAGATAAAGTCTTCAAAGCAATAGGGTGCTTGAATCTTTTAATATATATGTATCTATACATTTAAGATCTGTTATTTTTTATACCATAAATAGATATATAAAAGTTAAAATTTATTTATTTTTGGATATACTTGAGGTTGAGGGTCTTGTTGTGGACTCTGCTGTCTGAGTAGATGACCTTGATGTGAGTCACATCCATTCCAGTGGTGAGCTCTGAAGACTCTAGCACAAGATCAGCATCCATGGTGATGTTAACCAGGTAGACCAATGCCGAATGCTGCTGTGCATAACATGGCGCTTTGACATAATGCTTCCTCAAGCTACTGTCAGCCCAACGTCCCAGATTCCACTGCAAATCTCTTGGACGTGCTAGCGCTCCTGCTGATGACGAGCGTATGAGCTCGCAAAAGACCTCGTCTACTCGAGCCTCCCGCACGTCAGGCAGCACTTTAAGATACGCTTGACCACTTTGAGCCGAGTCATGAAGGCAAGCTGATAGCGGTACTCCAAAGGCGTGTCATTGTCAAGCCATGCCTCGGGGGACTTAAGAAGATTGCCATCAAGGAGCTCTATCGCCGTTTCAAGCACCCATAACCTGTCCTCCTCCGTTTCCAGCAGCCTTGACGACGGGTCGACGTCCTTGTCCAGGCTGAAGTTGCTAATTGCCGGTCGTCCCAAGATGAACATTGGACATAGGAGCGAAGAGGCTCGGCCTCCACGATGAGCACCCCACTGGCGGATATCAGCGTCATCTGGATCATAGCGGTGCAAACTCAACAAACGGCTTAAGGCGCCGGTGCAGCTTCTTACCTCCGCTTTCTTCCCTTACAGCTTCTACGACTTGCCTGTAGAATAAGTGCGTCACCAGCATGGTGTTTGCAACCAAGCCATTCCACTGCGCAAGCGTGTACGCCTTCTGCTGATCCATGAAGGCCAGGCAAGTGCCAGTATGTCCCTTGTGCCCGTCTATCAGTTCGAAGACAGATATCGCCATGTCTTTCACTTGGACACCTGAATCTGGGAAGTCGTCCGCCTCAGAAGCTCTATCGTTAACCTGAGTGCACGGTCTAATATTTTGACGGCTAATAAGAGCCTTGACGCGATCTGCCCGCTCCCAACCAGCACCCGTGCCCACAGATTGTACTGCTTCCTCTGGAATGCATGCTCCATCTAATGCGTGGACGGCGATGACGACAGCCACCAAGGCTTCGTCATGAAAAAATCCAGTGTGCGTGATGCTCCTTGCATTTGTGAGAATGGGCAAATATCTCTTTTGCGGTCCAAATGCCCCCTCTGTCTTCACCGCTGCGTTGTTGAAGGGGAACCGATGGAACGTACTGTCATTCTGGGCGTAGTACAGCAGTAGATTCGTCCACGACCCGAGATCCTTGGCCGGCATTTTGTCGAAGGTTGATTTCGCTGCCACGATTTTCCCCTGTGCCGTTATCATCGAGTTCCATGGCGCTCTGGGACGCATTCAAACACAGCCTCACAGTCACGGGTCCG